AGAGTCTCAACAAAAAAATATCTATTCAAAAACAAAAACAACGCTTAATTTCAAATTCAAAACTATTTAAAATTAAATTATTAAAAACACATCAACTCCTTTTATCATAACCGGCAACTTTAAACCCCATGGACCATCAGAGGGTTAATCCACACGCTCTATTGTTGTTTCACTCACACTTACTGCGCTGAGCCCTTTCACTCGCACTTCTTGTAAGTATTGTTAAGGGCCTGCTGCTGCCGACGAGACCACCTTATATAATTGCATCATGCCGCTGCCCAACGGCTTCGTCTGTTCGTAAGAAACGAGCCGAGTGAGCTCGAGACAGCTCAGCAGATGCGCACAGTGGGCCCAGCTTGATAAATTATAAAGTGAATTTCATTATCAACTTTGAGTGCTCATATCTCCTAAACTAAAACTATCTTGAAAATTAGATTCGCTAGAAAATTTTCTATTAGATGTATACATTTATTTTATTCAAAGCGTTCATAACATATTTTTTAATTTTGCCACCTCTTTTCGGCTGAGTCCCCACTGTTAATACACACAATACAAATAAATAACAACTTTAAAAGCAAACTCGACCTATTCAGGGCCGGATCAGCCCTCAACCGGGCCCTGGGCAACCATCAATCTAGGGGCCCATCTTTTCTCATTTGAAATAAAAACTTATAAATTTAATGTTTGTTTGATTATTTTGTATTTTTCTCAGTGGCTATTATATTTTTATTCATTAATATTATAATTTTTTAGCTATAGGGGGCTCTAGGCAACTGCTAATCCGGCCCTGGACCTATCCCCGTCGTCAGACTTCATATTTTGTTGTCGCTCGACTCGACAGAGATAACGAAGAGAATGGAAGAAATACCCCGCGCTGCCGTGCCATGAAGCGTCAAACGAAAATTGAACGAGCATTTGCTTCTCGTGCAATATCTTTGTATTGTCGCGCCGCAGCGTCGGCTTGTTCGGGTGTGGTAAATACACACACATGCATAGACACGCAGTGTTGTTGAGACACGGTTTTGTGTGGTAAAGAAGAATAAAATGATGAAAACGCCGCAGCCGCTGCATTGGAAAGAAAATGAGATGGCAGAAGCTGTAGCAGGAGCGACGTTCAAATGAGATGCAAAATTTTGGGAATCTGGAAAACAAAGGTGAGGACAAAACTGATCAGATGATAAAGCTGCTAAGTTGCAAAGTGCTAACTGATGAGCAACGAGAAGTACAAATGAAAGTCGCTCCAACAAATTTTGAAAAAGTTGTGAGTGAGTGTGATGGCAAAATCGGTCCCAATAGAAAAGTGGTTCGAGATTTTCGAAAAAAATGCCGACGCATATGAGCTTGCTAAAAAGCTAAATAATGTGCATGCCAGAGGAAAGCTCAGAATCGTATTATCATACATATTATACATATATATATTATACAATATTGCAGACATTCATCAACAGCTGCAAGAACGGAATAAGAAGTGTAATGAGTCGCTGCACGAAACGAGTACACGTTTGTCATGTTGCGATGTAAATCATTCAGAGCCTTGAAAGAAGAGTTCTATATCTAAGAGCATTTGAACATATCCGAGAAGAAGGGCAATAAAGAACAACATTACCCGAATTATAAACAGTAAAGTGGGTCAGGCGGTAACAAATAATATTGCTATGATAGTGAATCAGGAGAGCATAAGCGCAAAGATTCTAAAGCCAAAACGAAATATTTTAAGTTTAATCAGAATGGTCACATTTCGCGTAACTGTCCTTATGAAGGCAATAATTTGTCGACATCAGTCGGATCGGATATCAAATAGAGAATAATATGTCATATGTATTATGATCTTTCAAATCAAATTTAATTTATTGCAGCCCCGTCAGCTGTTTTTCAGACAGTCAGACAAGCGCATTGAGCGCAAGCTTACGCTCATGTGTGTGTGCCACATGCATTCATGACATCAGACTCTGCTAACTGACTAGACGGAAAAATAGAGATGGCCTTTTGTGAAATGCCTGCAGTCAGAGCGAGAGAACTATATGAGTCAAGCTGGCTTCCCAGCGCCTGGAGCCAAATTAATCAATTATTTTACTTTGCGGATATACTTTTGCTGGCTTGGTGGCTCTGTTTTTCTGGAAAACATTATTTTGTATCAATTAGTGACTCAGTTGTTCGACTGAAAGCCAATAGACGTGTCTAGAGACGGCTACGTACAATAATGTTGCATTTTGGCTCTCATGCTATCCCTCTCTACGCAGCAAAATTGGCTAAGTCTAATGTCATAACACTATAAACCCTATATCTATCAGATGAACTGCGCTAAAATTAGGCAAGTTTCATAATTTTCAATAGCAAAATTTTCAAAATGGGTAAATGTTTCTCTGCATAATATTCGGCTCTGCATTACTATCTAGGCCCCTCAGAATTGCAAATATAATTTTATCCGATAAATTAATACATTTGGTACAAGGTTGGCTAATTTGGATTGTAAAATAAGAGTGTACATGGCACATTTACTACATGGCAACTACATTTAGACGTAATTGACAACGTATTCCACGCTGTTGCCGGTGCATAAAAAACGTCACTGGGATCGTAGTTTATTGTGGACTACAAAATAAATTAAATGTGCTCATAAGGAAACCCACATCAAGCTAACACTAAACCAATTCAAATTCGAATTCGGAGACGCTGAGTAGTGGCACAGTTTCAGGTACCCCAGCTTTAGATGCAACGGGGGTAAAATTATTTTTTGAGTCGACACCAGTGGTATGTTGATAACATTTTTTTCCCCCAAATTTTTCGTTGTGGTCATGAACTTAAATCGTAATGATTTTTAGCTACACTATCCCATTCGACTTTTGAACTTAAAAAAAACGTAGTGGGTTTTTTGTTTTGTTTTGATTGGTATATTTGCCGAAATATATTTAATAATGTTTTTATAATACGAATATTGAATTTAAATAGTTTAAAAAACGCTCCTGCCGCTTTCACTGCTAATCGTCCAGAAACGCCGATGGTGAGCGTGTCAACATTTTGCATTTTTTGTTTCACACACTTCTTCACAGGAGCACCCTTCTTTTTCTTGGATTTCGACTGTCCCGCCTTAGTTTTTGCTTCTGGCTTTTTTCCTGCCTTGACGGCTGCGTTCGGTGTGCAACGAACACGAGCAGAAGGTGTTTTGGTCTTCTTGCCCTTTCGTTGCTTGCTATTCTTGCCCGGCAGCGGACCCTTTGCCTTCACACAACTTAGTGTCAGGCTGTACGTGTAGCTGGGCCGCCATCAAAGTCCATAATTCACTTTCGCTGTAATTTTGTTTGTTTTGATTGGTATATTTGCCGAAATATATTTAATAATGTTTTTATAATACGAATATTGAATTTAAATAGTTTAAAAAACGCTCCTGCCGCTTTCACTGCTAATCGTCCAGAAACGCCGATGGTGAGCGTGTCAACTTTTTGCATTTTTGGTTTCACACACTTCTTCACAGGAGCACCCTTCTTTTTCTTGGATTTCGACTGTCCCGCCTTAGTTTTTGCTTCTGGCTTTTTTCCTGCCTTGACGGCTGCGTTCGGTGTGCAACGAACACGAGCAGAAGGTGTTTTGGTCTTCTTGCCCTTTCGTTGCTTGCTATTCTTGCCCGGCAGCGGACCCTTTGCCTTCACACAACTTAGTGTCAGGCTGTACGTGTAGCTGGGCCGCCATCAAAGTCCATAATTCACTTTCGCTGTAATTTTGTTTGTTTTGATTGGTATATTTGCCGAAATATATTTAATAATGTTTTTATAATACGAATATTGAATTTAAATAGTTTAAAAAACGCTCCTGCCGCTTTGACTGCTAATCGTCCAGAAACGCCGATGGTGAGCGTGTCAACATTTTGCATTTTTTGTTTCACACACTTCTTCACAGGAGCACCCTTCTTTTTCTTGGATTTCGACTGTCCCGCCTTAGTTTTTGCTTCTGGCTTTTTTCCTGCCTTGACGGCTGCGTTCGGTGTGCAACGAACACGAGCAGAAGGTGTTTTGGTCTTCTTGCCCTTTCGTTGCTTGCTATTCTTGCCCGGCAGCGGACCCTTTGCCTTCACACAACTTAGTGTCTGGCTGTGCGTGTAGCTGGGCCGCCATCAAAGTCCATAATGCACTTTCGCTGTAATTTTGTTTGTTTTGATTGGTATATTTGCCGAAATATATTTAATAATGTTTTTATAATACGAATATTGAATTTAAATAGTTTAAAAAACGCTCCTGCCGCTTTCACTGCTAATCGTCCAGAAACGCCGATGGGGAGCATGTCAACTTTTTGCATTTTTGGTTTCACACACTTCTTCACAGGAGCACCCTTCTTTTTCTTGGATTTCGACTGTCCCGCCTTAGTTTTTGCTTCTGGCTTTTTTCCTGCCTTGACGGCTGCGTTCGGTGTGCAACGAACACGAGCAGAAGGTGTTTTGGTCTTCTTGCCCTTCCGTTGCTTGCTATTCTTGCCCGGCAGCGGACCCTTTGCCTTCACACAACTTAGTGTCTGGCTGTGCGTGTAGCTGGGCCGCCATCAAAGTCCATAATTCACTTTCGCTGTAATTTTGTTTGTTTTGATTGGTATATTTGCCGAAATATATTAATAATGTTTTTATAATACGAATATTGAATTTAAATAGTTTAAAAAACGCTCCTGCCGCTTTCACTGCTAATCGTCCAGAAACGCCGATGGTGAGCATGTCAACATTTTTGCATTTTTGTTTCACACACTTCTTCACAGGAGCACCCTTCTTTTTCTTGGATTTCGACTGTCCCGCCTTAGTTTTTGCTTCTGGCTTTTTTCCTGCCTTGACGGCTGCGTTCGGTGTGCAACGAACACGAGCAGAAGGTGTTTTGGTCTTCTTGCCTTTTCGTTGCTTGCTATTCTTGCCCGGCAGCGGACCCTTTGCCTTCACACAACTTAGTGTCTGGCTGTGCGTGTAGCTGGGCCGCCATCAAAGTCCATAATTCACTTTCACTGTAATTTTGTTTGTTTTGATTGGTATATTTGCCGAAATATATTTAATAATGTTTTTATAATACGAATATTGAATTTAAATAGTTTAAAAAACGCTCCTGCCGCTTTCACTGCTAATCGTCCAGAAACGCCGATGGTGAGCGTGTCAACATTTTGCATTTTTTGTTTCACACACTTCTTCACAGGAGCACCCTTCTTTTTCTTGGATTTCGACTGTCCCGCCTTAGTTTTTGCTTCTGGCTTTTTTCCTGCCTTGACGGCTGCGTTCGGTGTGCAACGAACACGAGCAGAAGGTGTTTTGGTCTTCTTGCCCTTTCGTTGCTTGCTATTCTTGCCCGGCAGCGGACCCTTTGCCTTCACACAACTTAGTGTCTGGCTGTGCGTGTAGCTGGGCCGCCATCAAAGTCCATAATGCACTTTCGCTGTAATTTTGTTTGTTTTGATTGGTATATTTGCCGAAATATATTTAATAATGTTTTTATAATACGAATATTGAATTTAAATAGTTTAAAAAACGCTCCTGCCGCTTTCACTGCTAATCGTCCAGAAACGCCGATGGGGGAGCATGTCAACTTTTTGCATTTTTGGTTTCACACACTTCTTCACAGGAGCACCCTTCTTTTTCTTGGATTTCGACTGTCCCGCCTTAGTTTTTGCTTCTGGCTTTTTTCCTGCCTTGACGGCTGCGTTCGGTGTGCAACGAACACGAGCAGAAGGTGTTTTGGTCTTCTTGCCCTTCCGTTGCTTGCTATTCTTGCCCGGCAGCGGACCCTTTGCCTTCACACAACTTAGTGTCTGGCTGTGCGTGTAGCTGGGCCGCCATCAAAGTCCATAATTCACTTTCGCTGTAATTTTGTTTGTTTTGATTGGTATATTTGCCGAAATATATTAATAATGTTTTTATAATACGAATATTGAATTTAAATAGTTTAAAAAACGCTCCTGCCGCTTTCACTGCTAATCGTCCAGAAACGCCGATGGTGAGCGTGTCAACATTTTGCATTTTTTGTTTCACACACTTCTTCACAGGAGCACCCTTCTTTTTCTTGGATTTCGACTGTCCCGCCTTAGTTTTTGCTTCTGGCTTTTTTCCTGCCTTGACGGCTGCGTTCGGTGTGCAACGAACACGAGCAGAAGGTGTTTTGGTCTTCTTGCCCTTTCGTTGCTTGCTATTCTTGCCCGGCAGCGGACCCTTTGCCTTCACACAACTTAGTGTCTGGCTGTGCGTGTAGCTGGGCCGCCATCAAAGTCCATAATGCACTTTCGCTGTAATTTTGTTTGTTTTGATTGGTATATTTGCCGAAATATATTTAATAATGTTTTTATAATACGAATATTGAATTTAAATAGTTTAAAAAACGCTCCTGCCGCTTTCACTGCTAATCGTCCAGAAACGCCGATGGGGAGCATGTCAACTTTTTGCATTTTTGGTTTCACACACTTCTTCACAGGAGCACCCTTCTTTTTCTTGGATTTCGACTGTCCCGCCTTAGTTTTTGCTTCTGGCTTTTTTCCTGCCTTGACGGCTGCGTTCGGTGTGCAACGAACACGAGCAGAAGGTGTTTTGGCTCTTGCCCGGCAGCGGACCCTTTGCCTTCACACAACTTAGTGTCTGGCTGTGCGTGTAGCTGGGCCGCCATCAAAGTCCATAATTCACTTTCGCTGTAATTTTGTTTGTTTTGATTGGTATATTTGCCGAAATATATTAATAATGTTTTTATAATACGAATATTGAATTTAAATAGTTTAAAAAACGCTCCTGCCGCTTTCACTGCTAATCGTCCAGAAACGCCGATGGTGAGCGTGTCAACATTTTGCATTTTTTGTTTCACACACTTCTTCACAGGAGCACCCTTCTTTTTCTTGGATTTCGACTGTCCCGCCTTAGTTTTTGCTTCTGGCTTTTTTCCTGCCTTGACGGCTGCGTTCGGTGTGCAACGAACACGAGCAGAAGGTGTTTTGGTCTTCTTGCCCTTTCGTTGCTTGCTATTCTTGCCCGGCAGCGGACCCTTTGCCTTCACACAACTTAGTGTCTGGCTGTGCGTGTAGCTGGGCCGCCATCAAAGTCCATAATGCACTTTCGCTGTAATTTTGTTTGTTTTGATTGGTATATTTGCCGAAATATATTTAATAATGTTTTTATAATACGAATATTGAATTTAAATAGTTTAAAAAACGCTCCTGCCGCTTTCACTGCTAATCGTCCAGAAACGCCGATGGGGAGCATGTCAACTTTTTGCATTTTTGGTTTCACACACTTCTTCACAGGAGCACCCTTCTTTTTCTTGGATTTCGACTGTCCCGCCTTAGTTTTTGCTTCTGGCTTTTTTCCTGCCTTGACGGCTGCGTTCGGTGTGCAACGAACACGAGCAGAAGGTGTTTTGGTCTTCTTGCCCTTCCGTTGCTTGCTATTCTTGCCCGGCAGCGGACCCTTTGCCTTCACACAACTTAGTGTCTGGCTGTGCGTGTAGCTGGGCCGCCATCAAAGTCCATAATTCACTTTCGCTGTAATTTTGTTTGTTTTGATTGGTATATTTGCCGAAATATATTAATAATGTTTTTATAATACGAATATTGAATTTAAATAGTTTAAAAAACGCTCCTGCCGCTTTCACTGCTAATCGTCCAGAAACGCCGATGGTGAGCGTGTCAACATTTTTCATTTTTTGTTTCACACACTTCTTCACAGGAGCACCCTTCTTTTTCTTGGATTTCGACTGTCCCGCCTTAGTTTTTGCTTCTGGCTTTTTTCCTGCCTTGACGGCTGCGTTCGGTGTGCAACGAACACGAGCAGAAGGTGTTTTGGTCTTCTTGCCTTTTCGTTGCTTGCTATTCTTGCCCGGCAGCGGACCCTTTGCCTTCACACAACTTAGTGTCTGGCTGTGCGTGTAGCTGGGCCGCCATCAAAGTCCATAATTCACTTTCACTGTAATTTTGTTTGTTTTGATTGGTATATTTGCCGAAATATATTTAATAATGTTTTTATAATACGAATATTGAATTTAAATAGTTTAAAAAACGCTCCTGCCGCTTTCACTGCTAATCGTCCAGAAACGCCGATGGTGAGCGTGTCAACTTTTTGCATTTTTTGTTTCACACACTTCTTCACAGGAGCACCCTTCTTTTTCTTGGATTTCGACTGTCCCGCCTTAGTTTTTGCTTCTGGCTTTTTTCCTGCCTTGACGGCTGCGTTCGGTGTGCAACGAACACGAGCAGAAGGTGTTTTGGTCTTCTTGCCCTTTCGTTGCTTGCTATTCTTGCCCGGCAGCGGACCCTTTGCCTTCACACAACTTAGTGTCTGGCTGTGCGTGTAGCTGGGCCGCCATCAAAGTCCATAATTCACTTTCGCTGTAATTTTGTTTGTTTTGATTGGTATATTTGCCGAAATATATTTAATAATGTTTTTATAATACGAATATTGAATTTAAATAGTTTAAAAAACGCTCCTGCCGCTTTCACTGCTAATCGTCCAGAAACGCCGATGGTGAGCGTGTCAACATTTTGCATTTTTTGTTTCACACACTTCTTCACAGGAGCACCCTTCTTTTTCTTGGATTTCGACTGTCCCGCCTTAGTTTTTGCTTCTGGCTTTTTTCCTGCCTTGACGGCTGCGTTCGGTGTGCAACGAACACGAGCAGAAGGTGTTTTGGTCTTCTTGCCCTTTCGTTGCTTGCTATTCTTGCCCGGCAGCGGACCCTTTGCCTTCACACAACTTAGTGTCAGGCTGTACGTGTAGCTGGGCCGCCATCAAAGTCCATAATTCACTTTCGCTGTAATTTTGTTTGTTTTGATTGGTATATTTGCCGAAATATATTTAATAATGTTTTTATAATACGAATATTGAATTTAAATAGTTTAAAAAACGCTCCTGCCGCTTTCACTGCTAATCGTCCAGAAACGCCGATGGTGAGCGTGTCAACTTTTTGCATTTTTGGTTTCACACACTTCTTCACAGGAGCACCCTTCTTTTTCTTGGATTTCGACTGTCCCGCCTTAGTTTTTGCTTCTGGCTTTTTTCCTGCCTTGACGGCTGCGTTCGGTGTGCAACGAACACGAGCAGAAGGTGTTTTGGTCTTCTTGCCCTTTCGTTGCTTGCTATTCTTGCCCGGCAGCGGACCCTTTGCCTTCACACAACTTAGTGTCTGGCTGTGCGTGTAGCTGGGCCGCCATCAAAGTCCATAATTCACTTTCGCTGTAATTTTGTTTGTTTTGATTGGTATATTTGCCGAAATATATTTAATAATGTTTTTATAATACGAATATTGAATTTAAATAGTTTAAAAAACGCTCCTGCCGCTTTCACTGCTAATCGTCCAGAAACGCCGATGGGGAGCATGTCAACTTTTTGCATTTTTGGTTTCACACACTTCTTCACAGGAGCACCCTTCTTTTTTTTGGATTTCGACTGTCCCGCCTTAGTTTTTGCTTCTGGCTTTTTTCCAGCCTTGACGGCTGCGTTCGGTGTGCAACGAAAGCGAGCAGAAGGTGTTTTGGTCTTCTTGCCCTTCCGTTGCTTGCTATTCTTGCCCGGCAGCGGACCCTTTGCCTTCACACAACTTAGTGTCTGGCTGTGCGTGTAGCTGGGCCGCCATCAAAGTCCATAATTCACTTTCGCTGTAATTTTGTTTGTTTTGATTGGTATATTTGCCGAAATATATTAATAATGTTTTTATAATACGAATATTGAATTTAAATAGTTTAAAAAACGCTCCTGCCGCTTTCACTGCTAATCGTCCAGAAACGCCGATGGGGAGCATGTCAACTTTTTGCATTTTTGGTTTCACACACTTCTTCACAGGAGCACCCTTCTTTTTCTTGGATTTCGACTGTCCCGCCTTAGTTTTTGCTTCTGGCTTTTTTCCTGCCTTGACGGCTGCGTTCGGTGTGCAACGAACACGAGCAGAAGGTGTTTTGGTCTTCTTGCCCTTCCGTTGCTTGCTATTCTTGCCCGGCAGCGGACCCTTTGCCTTCACACAACTTAGTGTCTGGCTGTGCGTGTAGCTGGGCCGCCATCAAAGTCCATAATTCACTTTCGCTGTAATTTTGTTTGTTTTGATTGGTATATTTGCCGAAATATATTTAATAATGTTTTTATAATACGAATATTGAATTTAAATAGTTTAAAAAACGCTCCTGCCGCTTTGACTGCTAATCGTCCAGAAACGCCGATGGTGAGCGTGTCAACATTTTGCATTTTTTGTTTCACACACTTCTTCACAGGAGCACCCTTCTTTTTCTTGGATTTCGACTGTCCCGCCTTAGTTTTTGCTTCTGGCTTTTTTCCTGCCTTGACGGCTGCGTTCGGTGTGCAACGAACACGAGCAGAAGGTGTTTTGGTCTTCTTGCCCTTTCGTTGCTTGCTATTCTTGCCCGGCAGCGGACCCTTTGCCTTCACACAACTTAGTGTCTGGCTGTGCGTGTAGCTGGGCCGCCATCAAAGTCCATAATGCACTTTCGCTGTAATTTTGTTTGTTTTGATTGGTATATTTGCCGAAATATATTTAATAATGTTTTTATAATACGAATATTGAATTTAAATAGTTTAAAAAACGCTCCTGCCGCTTTCACTGCTAATCGTCCAGAAACGCCGATGGGGAGCATGTCAACTTTTTGCATTTTTGGTTTCACACACTTCTTCACAGGAGCACCCTTCTTTTTCTTGGATTTCGACTGTCCCGCCTTAGTTTTTGCTTCTGGCTTTTTTCCTGCCTTGACGGCTGCGTTCGGTGTGCAACGAACACGAGCAGAAGGTGTTTTGGTCTTCTTGCCCTTCCGTTGCTTGCTATTCTTGCCCGGCAGCGGACCCTTTGCCTTCACACAACTTAGTGTCTGGCTGTGCGTGTAGCTGGGCCGCCATCAAAGTCCATAATTCACTTTCGCTGTAATTTTGTTTGTTTTGATTGGTATATTTGCCGAAATATATTAATAATGTTTTTATAATACGAATATTGAATTTAAATAGTTTAAAAAACGCTCCTGCCGCTTTCACTGCTAATCGTCCAGAAACGCCGATGGTGAGCGTGTCAACATTTTTCATTTTTTGTTTCACACACTTCTTCACAGGAGCACCCTTCTTTTTCTTGGATTTCGACTGTCCCGCCTTAGTTTTTGCTTCTGGCTTTTTTCCTGCCTTGACGGCTGCGTTCGGTGTGCAACGAACACGAGCAGAAGGTGTTTTGGTCTTCTTGCCTTTTCGTTGCTTGCTATTCTTGCCCGGCAGCGGACCCTTTGCCTTCACACAACTTAGTGTCTGGCTGTGCGTGTAGCTGGGCCGCCATCAAAGTCCATAATTCACTTTCACTGTAATTTTGTTTGTTTTGATTGGTATATTTGCCGAAATATATTTAATAATGTTTTTATAATACGAATATTGAATTTAAATAGTTTAAAAAACGCTCCTGCCGCTTTCACTGCTAATCGTCCAGAAACGCCGATGGTGAGCGTGTCAACATTTTGCATTTTTTGTTTCACACACTTCTTCACAGGAGCACCCTTCTTTTTCTTGGATTTCGACTGTCCCGCCTTAGTTTTTGCTTCTGGCTTTTTTCCTGCCTTGACGGCTGCGTTCGGTGTGCAACGAACACGAGCAGAAGGTGTTTTGGTCTTCTTGCCCTTTCGTTGCTTGCTATTCTTGCCCGGCAGCGGACCCTTTGCCTTCACACAACTTAGTGTCTGGCTGTGCGTGTAGCTGGGCCGCCATCAAAGTCCATAATGCACTTTCGCTGTAATTTTGTTTGTTTTGATTGGTATATTTGCCGAAATATATTTAATAATGTTTTTATAATACGAATATTGAATTTAAATAGTTTAAAAAACGCTCCTGCCGCTTTCACTGCTAATCGTCCAGAAACGCCGATGGGGAGCATGTCAACTTTTTGCATTTTTGGTTTCACACACTTCTTCACAGGAGCACCCTTCTTTTTCTTGGATTTCGACTGTCCCGCCTTAGTTTTTGCTTCTGGCTTTTTTCCTGCCTTGACGGCTGCGTTCGGTGTGCAACGAACACGAGCAGAAGGTGTTTTGGTCTTCTTGCCCTTCCGTTGCTTGCTATTCTTGCCCGGCAGCGGACCCTTTGCCTTCACACAACTTAGTGTCTGGCTGTGCGTGTAGCTGGGCCGCCATCAAAGTCCATAATTCACTTTCGCTGTAATTTTGTTTGTTTTGATTGGTATATTTGCCGAAATATATTAATAATGTTTTTATAATACGAATATTGAATTTAAATAGTTTAAAAAACGCTCCTGCCGCTTTCACTGCTAATCGTCCAGAAACGCCGATGGTGAGCGTGTCAACTTTTTGCATTTTTGGTTTCACACACTTCTTCACAGGAGCACCCTTCTTTTTCTTGGATTTCGACTGTCCCGCCTTAGTGTTTGCTTCTGGCTTTTTTCCTGCCTTGACGGCTGCGTTCGGTGTGCAACGAACACGAGCAGAAGGTGTTTTGGTCTTCTTGCCCTTTCGTTGCTTGCTATTCTTGCCCGGCAGCGGACCCTTTGCCTTCACACAACTTAGTGTCTGGCTGTGCGTGTAGCTGGGCCGCCATCAAAGTCCATAATGCACTTTCGCTGTAATTTTGTTTGTTTTGATTGGTATATTTGCCGAAATATATTTAATAATGTTTTTATAATACGAATATTGAATTTAAATAGTTTAAAAAACGCTCCTGCCGCTTTCACTGCTAATCGTCCAGAAACGCCGATGGGGAGCATGTCAACTTTTTGCATTTTTGGTTTCACACACTTCTTCACAGGAGCACCCTTCTTTTTCTTGGATTTCGACTGTCCCGCCTTAGTTTTTGCTTCTGGCTTTTTTCCTGCCTTGACGGCTGCGTTCGGTGTGCAACGAACACGAGCAGAAGGTGTTTTGGTCTTGCCCGGCAGCGGACCCTTTGCCTTCACACAACTTAGTGTCTGGCTGTGCGTGTAGCTGGGCCGCCATCAAAGTCCATAATTCACTTTCGCTGTAATTTTGTTTGTTTTGATTGGTATATTTGCCGAAATATATTAATAATGTTTTTATAATACGAATATTGAATTTAAATAGTTTAAAAAACGCTCCTGCCGCTTTCACTGCTAATCGTCCAGAAACGCCGATGGTGAGCGTGTCAACATTTTGCATTTTTTGTTTCACACACTTCTTCACAGGAGCACCCTTCTTTTCTTGGATTTCGACTGTCCCGCCTTAGTTTTTGCTTCTGGCTTTTTTCCTGCCTTGACGGCTGCGTTCGGTGTGCAACGAACACGAGCAGAAGGTGTTTTGGTCTTCTTGCCCTTTCGTTGCTTGCTATTCTTGCCCGGCAGCGGACCCTTTGCCTTCACACAACTTAGTGTCTGGCTGTGCGTGTAGCTGGGCCGCCATCAAAGTCCATAATGCACTTTCGCTGTAATTTTGTTTGTTTTGATTGGTATATTTGCCGAAATATATTTAATAATGTTTTTATAATACGAATATTGAATTTAAATAGTTTAAAAAACGCTCCTGCCGCTTTCACTGCTAATCGTCCAGAAACGCCGATGGGGAGCATGTCAACTTTTTGCATTTTTGGTTTCACACACTTCTTCACAGGAGCACCCTTCTTTTTCTTGGATTTCGACTGTCCCGCCTTAGTTTTTGCTTCTGGCTTTTTTCCTGCCTTGACGGCTGCGTTCGGTGTGCAACGAACACGAGCAGAAGGTGTTTTGGTCTTCTTGCCCTTCCGTTGCTTGCTATTCTTGCCCGGCAGCGGACCCTTTGCCTTCACACAACTTAGTGTCTGGCTGTGCGTGTAGCTGGGCCGCCATCAAAGTCCATAATTCACTTTCGCTGTAATTTTGTTTGTTTTGATTGGTATATTTGCCGAAATATATTAATAATGTTTTTATAATACGAATATTGAATTTAAATAGTTTAAAAAACGCTCCTGCCGCTTTCACTGCTAATCGTCCAGAAACGCCGATGGTGAGCGTGTCAACATTTTTCATTTTTTGTTTCACACACTTCTTCACAGGAGCACCCTTCTTTTTCTTGGATTTCGACTGTCCCGCCTTAGTTTTTGCTTCTGGCTTTTTTCCTGCCTTGACGGCTGCGTTCGGTGTGCAACGAACACGAGCAGAAGGTGTTTTGGTCTTCTTGCCCTTTCGTTGCTTGCTATTCTTGCCCGGCAGCGGACCCTTTGCCTTCACACAACTTAGTGTCTGGCTGTGCGTGTAGCTGGGCCGCCATCAAAGTCCATAATTCACTTTCACTGTAATTTTGTTTGTTTTGATTGGTATATTTGCCGAAATATATTTAATAATGTTTTTATAATACGAATATTGAATTTAAATAGTTTAAAAAACGCTCCTGCCGCTTTCACTGCTAATCGTCCAGAAACGCCGATGGTGAGCGTGTCAACATTTTGCATTTTTTGTTTCACACACTTCTTCACAGGAGCACCCTTCTTTTTCTTGGATTTCGACTGTCCCGCCTTAGTTTTTGCTTCTGGCTTTTTTCCTGCCTTGACGGCTGCGTTCGGTGTGCAACGAACACGAGCAGAAGGTGTTTTGGTCTTCTTGCCCTTTCGTTGCTTGCTATTCTTGCCCGGCAGCGGACCCTTTGCCTTCACACAACTTAGTGTCTGGCTGTGCGTGTAGCTGGGCCGCCATCAAAGTCCATAATGCACTTTCGCTGTAATTTTGTTTGTTTTGATTGGTATATTTGCCGAAATATATTTAATAATGTTTTTATAATACGAATATTGAATTTAAATAGTTTAAAAAACGCTCCTGCCGCTTTCACTGCTAATCGTCCAGAAACGCCGATGGGGAGCATGTCAACTTTTTGCATTTTTGGTTTCACACACTTCTTCACAGGAGCACCCTTCTTTTTCTTGGATTTCGACTGTCCCGCCTTAGTTTTTGCTTCTGGCTTTTTTCCTGCCTTGACGGCTGCGTTCGGTGTGCAACGAACACGAGCAGAAGGTGTTTTGGTCTTCTTGCCCTTCCGTTGCTTGCTATTCTTGCCCGGCAGCGGACCCTTTGCCTTCACACAACTTAGTGTCTGGCTGTGCGTGTAGCTGGGCCGCCATCAAAGTCCATAATTCACTTTCGCTGTAATTTTGTTTGTTTTGATTGGTATATTTGCCGAAATATATTAATAATGTTTTTATAATACGAATATTGAATTTAAATAGTTTAAAAAACGCTCCTGCCGCTTTCACTGCTAATCGTCCAGAAACGCCGATGGTGAGCGTGTCAACATTTTGCATTTTTTGTTTCACACACTTCTTCACAGGAGCACCCTTCTTTTTCTTGGATTTCGACTGTCCCGCCTTAGTTTTTGCTTCTGGCTTTTTTCCTGCCTTGACGGCTGCGTTCGGTGTGCAACGAACACGAGCAGAAGGTGTTTTGGTCTTCTTGCCCTTTCGTTGCTTGCTATTCTTGCCCGGCAGCGGACCCTTTGCCTTCACACAACTTAGTGTCTGGCTGTGCGTGTAGCTGGGCCGCCATCAAAGTCCATAATGCACTTTCGCTGTAATTTTGTTTGTTTTGATTGGTATATTTGCCGAAATATATTTAATAATGTTTTTATAATACGAATATTGAATTTAAATAGTTTAAAAAACGCTCCTGCCGCTTTCACTGCTAATCGTCCAGAAACGCCGATGGTGAGCGTGTCAACATTTTGCATTTTTTGTTTCACACACTTCTTCACAGGAGCACCCTTCTTTTTCTTGGATTTCGACTGTCCCGCCTTAGTTTTTGCTTCTGGCTTTTTTCCTGCCTTGACGGCTGCGTTCGGTGTGCAACGAACACGAGCAGAAGGTGTTTTGGTCTTCTTGCCTTTTCGTTGCTTGCTATTCTTGCCCGGCAGCGGACCCTTTGCCTTCACACAACTTAGTGTCTGGCTGTGCGTGTAGCTGGGCCGCCATCAAAGTCCATAATTCACTTTCACTGTAATTTTGTTTGTTTTGATTGGTATATTTGCCGAAATATATTTAATAATGTTTTTATAATACGAATATTGAATTTAAATAGTTTAAAAAACGCTCCTGCCGCTTTCACTGCTAATCGTCCAGAAACGCCGATGGTGAGCGTGTCAACATTTTGCATTTTTTGTTTCACACACTTCTTCACAGGAGCACCCTTCTTTTTCTTGGATTTCGACTGTCCCGCCTTAGTTTTTGCTTCTGGCTTTTTTCCTGCCTTGACGGCTGCGTTCGGTGTGCAACGAACACGAGCAGAAGGTGTTTTGGTCTTCTTGCCCTTCCGTTGCTTGCTATTCTTGCCCGGCAGCGGACCCTTTGCCTTCACACAACTTAGTGTCTGGCTGTGCGTGTAGCTGGGCCGCCATCAAAGTCCATAATGCACTTTCGCTGTAATTTTGTTTGTTTTGATTGGTATATTTGCCGAAATATATTTAATAATGTTTTTATAATACGAATATTGAATTTAAATAGTTTAAAAAACGCTCCTGCCGCTTTCACTGCTAATCGTCCAGAAACGCCGATGGGGAGCATGTCAACTTTTTGCATTTTTGGTTTCACACACTTCTTCACAGGAGCACCCTTCTTTTTCTTGGATTTCGACTGTCCCGCCTTAGTTTTTGCTTCTGGCTTTTTTCCTGCCTTGACGGCTGCGTTCGGTGTGCAACGAACACGAGCAGAAGGTGTTTTGGTCTTCTTGCCCTTCCGTTGCTTGCTATTCTTGCCCGGCAGCGGACCCTTTGCCTTCACACAACTTAGTGTCTGGCTGTGCGTGTAGCTGGGCCGCCATCAAAGTCCATAATTCACTTTCGCTGTAATTTTGTTTGTTTTGATTGGTATATTTGCCGAAATATATTAATAATGTTTTTATAATACGAATATTGAATTTAAATAGTTTAAAAAACGCTCCTGCCGCTTTCACTGCTAATCGTCCAGAAACGCCGATGGTGAGCGTGTCAACATTTTGCATTTTTTGTTTCACACACTTCTTCACAGGAGCACCCTTCTTTTTCTTGGATTTCGACTGTCCCGCCTTAGTTTTTGCTTCTGGCTTTTTTCCTGCCTTGACGGCTGCATTCGGTGTGCAACGAACACGAGCAGAAGGTGTTTTGTAAAAAAACTGCGTGTTCGCCAAGACGTAAAGAAGCATGTTGCGGTCCCAATCTAAACAGCCTATTATTTTGTTAAGAATAGATGGCACTAGAAAGTTCATGTCTGGAAATAACACCTTTCCATACAAAAAAAATTTAAAAAAAATGCCAAAGTTGAAGAAACATTAAAAATTATAGAAAATAGAATTGCGGCTTTTGAATTTTTAAAAAAGATTTTAGGGGTATTGCAAATTCTAAGTATGAGGAAGTGATCACGGCCCACAAACTTAATTTTGTCTGGTGACTGTCGCACAGTGAAACCGAACGATTCGGCAGCCGACGAGACCACCTTATATAATTGCATCATGCCCGCTACTCATTCTCTTTCTTTCTTTCTCTTTATTTTACTTTGCGGATATACTTTTGCTGGCTTGGTGGCTCTGTTTTTCTGGAAAACATTATTTTGTATCAATTAGTGACTCAGTTGTTCGACTGAAAGCCATGTCTAGAGACGGCTACGTACAATAATGTTGCATTTTGGCTCTCATGCTATCCCTCTCTACGCAGAAAAATTGGCTAAGTCTAATGTCATAACACTATAAACCCTATATCTATCAGATGAACTGCGCTAAAATTAGGCAAGTTTCATAATTTTCAATAGCAAAATTTTCAAAATGGGTAAATGTTTCTCTGCATAATATTCGGCTCTGCATTACTATCTAGGCCCCTCAGAATTGCAAATATAATTTTATCCGATAAATTAATACATTTGGTACAAGGTTGGCTAATTTGGATTGTAAAATAAGAGTGTACATGGCACATTTACTACATGGCAACTACATTTAGACGTAATTGACAACGTATTCCACGCTGTTGCCGGTGCATAAAAAACGTCACTGGGATCGTAGTTTATTGTGGACTACAAAATAAATTAAATGTGCTCATAAGGAAACCCACATCAAGCTAACACTAAACCAATTCAAATTCGAATTCGGAGACGCTGAGTAGTGGCACAGTTTCAGGTACCCCAGCTTTAGATGCAACGGGGGTAAAATTATTTTTTGAGTCGACACCAGTGGTATGTTGATAACATTTTTTTCCCCCAAATTTTTCGTTGTGGTCATGAACTTAAATCGTAATGATTTTTAGCTACACTATCCCATTCGACTTTTGAACTTAAAAAAAACGTAGTGGGTTTTTTGTTTTGTTTTGATTGGTATATTTGCCGAAATATATTTAATAATGTTTTTATAATACGAATATTGAATTTAAATAGTTTAAAAAACGCTCCTGCCGCTTTCACTGCTAATCGTCCAGAAACGCCGATGGTGAGCGTGTCAACTTTTTGCATTTTTTGTTTCACACACTTCTTCACAGGAGCACCCTTCTTTTTCTTGGATTTCGACTGTCCCGCCTTAGTTTTTGCTTCTGGCTTTTTTCCTGCCTTGACGGCTGCGTTCGGTGTGCAACGAACACGAGCAGAAGGTGTTTTGTAAAAAAACTGCGTGTTCGCCAAGACGTAAAGAAGCATGTTGCGGTCCCAATCTAAACAGCCTATTATTTTGTTAAGAATAGATGGCACTAGAAAGTTCATGTCTGGAAATAATACCTTTCCATACAAAAAAAATTTAAAAAAAATGCCAAAGTTGAAGAAACATTAAAAATTATAGAAAATAGAATTGCGGCTTTTGAATTTTTAAAAAAGATTTTGGGGGTATTGCAAATTCTAAGTATGAGGAAGTGATCACGGCCCACAAACTTAATTTTGTCTGGTGACTGTCGCACAGTGAAACCGAACGATTCGGCAGCCGACGAGACCACCTTATATAATTGCATCATGCCCGCTACTCATTCTCTTTCTTTCTTTCTCTTTATTTTACTTTGCGGATATACTTTTGCTGGCTTGTTGGCTCTGTTTTTCTGGAAAACATTATTTTGTATCAATTAGTGACTCAGTTGTTCGACTGAAAGCCATGTCTAGAGACGGCTACGTACAATAATGTTGCATTTTGGCTCTCATGCTATCCCTCTCTACGCAGCAAAATTGGATAAGTCTAATGTCATAACACTATAAACCCTATATCTATCAGATGAACTGCGCTAAAATTAGGCAAGTTTCATAATTTTCAATAGCAAAATTTTCAAAATGGGTAAATGTTTCTCTGCATAATATTCGGCTCTGCATTACTATCTAGGCCCCTCAGAATTGCAAATATAATTTTATCCGATAAATTAATACATTTGGTACAAGGTTGGCTAATTTGGATTGTAAAATAAGAGTGTACATGGCACATTTACTACATGGCAACTACATTTAGACGTAATTGACAACGTATTCCACGCTGTTGCCGGTGCATAAAAAACGTCACTGGGATCGTAGTTTATTGTGGACTACAAAATAAATTAAATGTGCTCATAAGGAAACCCACATCAAGCTAACACTAAACCAATTCAAATTCGAATTCGGAGACGCTGAGTAGTGGCACAGTTTCAGGTACCCCAGCTTTAGATGCAACGGGGGTAAAATTATTTTTTGAGTCGACACCAGTGGTATGTTGATAACATTTTTTTCCCCCAAATTTTTCGTTGTGGTCATGAACTTAAATCGTAATGATTTTTTGCTACACTATCCCATTCGACTTTTGAACTTAAAAAAAACGTAGTGGGTTTTTTGTTTTGTATTGATTGGTATATTTTCCGAAATATATTTAATAATGTTTTTATAATACGAATATTGAATTTAAATAGTTTAAAAAACGCTCCTGCCGCTTTCACTGCTAATCGTCCAGAAACGCCGATGGTGAGCATGTCAACTTTTTGCATTTTTGGTTTCACACACTTCTTCACAGGAGCACCCTTCTTTTTCTTGGATTTCGACTGTCCCGCTTTAGTTTTTGCTTCTGGCTTTTTTCCTGCCTTGACGGCTGCGTTCGGTGTGCAACGAACACGAGCAGAAGGTGTTTTGGTCTTCTTGCCCTTTCGTTGCTTGCTATTCTTGCCCGGCAGCGGACCCTTTGCCTTCACACAACTTAGTGTCAGGCTGTACGTGTAGCTGGGCCGCCATCAAAGTCCATAATTCACTTTCGCTGTAATTTTGTTTGTTTTGATTGGTATATTTGCCGAAATATATTTAATAATGTTTTTATAATACGAATATTGAATTTAAATAGTTTAAAAAACGCTCCTGCCGCTTTCACTGCTAATCGTCCAGAAACGCCGATGGTGAGCATGTCAACTTTTTGCATTTTTGGTTTCACACACTTCTTCACAGGAGCACCCTTCTTTTTCTTGGATTTCGACTGTCCCGCTTTAGTCTTTGCTTCTGGCTTTTTTCCTGCCTTGACGGCTGCGTTCGGTGTGCAACGAACACGAGCAGAAGGTGTTTTGTAAAAAAACTGCGTGTTCGCCAAGACGTAAAGAAGCATGCTTTCACTGCTAATCGTCCAGAAACGCCGATGGTGAGCATGTCAACTTTTTGCATTTTTGGTTTCACACACTTCTTCACAGGAGCACCCTTCTTTTTCTTGGATTTCGACTGTCCCGCTTTAGTTTTTGCTTCTGGCTTTTTTCCTGCCTTGAAGGCTGCGTTCGGTGTGCAACGAACACGAGCAGAAGGTGTTTTGGTCTTCTTGCCCTTTCGTTGCTTGCTATTCTTGCCCGGCAGCGGACCCTTTGCCTTCACACAACTTAGTGTCAGGCTGTACGTGTAGCTGGGCAGCCATCAAAGTCCATAATTCACTTTCGCTGTAATTTTGTTTGTTTTGATTGGTATATTTGCCGAAATATATTTAATAATGTTTTTATAATACGAATATTGAATTTAAATAGTTTAAAAAACGCTCCTGCCGCTTTCACTGCTAATCGTCCAGAAACGCCGATGGTGAGCATGTCAACTTTTTGCATTTTTGGTTTCACACACTTCTTCACAGGAGCACCCTTCTTTTTCTTGGATTTCGACTGTCCCGCCTTAGTCTTTGCTTCTGGCTTTTTTCCTGCCTTGACGGCTGCGTTCGGTGTGCAACGAACACGAGCAGAAGGTGTTTTGTAAAAAAACTGCGTCTTCGCCAAGACGTAAAGAAGCATGTTGCAGTCCCAATCTAAACAGCCTATTATTTTGTTAAGAATAGATGGCACTAGAAAGTTCATGTCTAAAAATAATACCATTCCATACAAAAAAAAATTTAAAAAAAATGCCAAAGTTGAGGAAACATAAAAAATTATAGAAAATAGAATTGCGGCTTTTGAATTTTTAAAAAAGATTTTGGGGGTATATTGCAAATTCTAAGTATGAGGAAGTGATCACGGCCCACAAACTTAATTTTGTCTGGTGACTGTCGCACAGTGAAACCGAACGATTCGGCAGCCGACGAGACCACCTTATATAATTGCATCATGCCCGCTACTCATTCTCTTTCTCGCCCGCACACACTTTGCTCTGTGCAGAGGCGCAAGCTAAATTGCCCAGGTAATGGTGCCAATAATTAAATTTGTATGCATAAATAAGTTTTCTATTTGTTTCGTTAGGAATTATGTTCGTTATGTTATATAAAAGGTTGTTTACTTTTTATTTCGATGAGAAATATGTTTCCGTTTTGCAAAGCGAAAAAAATTTGCGATTTTCGATAACGAAAGCACCAATTAGTGCGTTATCTAAAATTAATCAGAATGGGCGATTCTAGTAAGAGTCATTTGGTGCCGTAGAATCAGAGTTAGGTGTACGAATATCAATGGAGCTCTTTATACTTTCATTTCCGTTTTCATTAGAAAGAGTTATCAAATTCCCTTCATTACGTGAGTATTTACTCTTATCAAGTATAAAATGAAATGTAGGACTCAGAATTTTTTAAATAAAACCCGCTATCTAGATGCTTAAGAGCAGTGCGTTATGAAATACGCAAATACGTTATCTATTCGTTTTGGAAAATTTCAATGTACTCTTTAGGATAGGATAACATCAAGTGGGGGGCACTCAAGCGTAGGGAGTGAATTTGATAAGAAGTTTGTATAAAAGCACCTATTTGCCTGACGTTGGCCAGAAGTTACTCAGTCACCATGAAAGTGTTCGTAGTATTGGCTCTGGCTTTGGCAGCCGTTTCTGCCGAGACTGTCCAGCAAGTTCACCCCAAGGATGTGTCCAAGGACACAAAGATCAATGGCCGTATTGTCAACGGCTACCCTGCATATGAGGGCAAGGCACCTTACACCGTTGGACTGGGCTTCAGCGGCAACGGCGGATGGTGGTGCGGAGGTTCCATCATTGCCCACGACTGGGTTCTGACTGCTGCTCACTGCACAAACGGAGCCAGTCAGGTGACCGTCTACTACGGCGCGGCCTGGCGCACCAACGCCCAGTTCACCCACACCATTGGTAGTGGCAACTTCATTCAGAACACCAGATGGCCCAACGACAACGGAAACGACATCGCTTTGATCCGCACTCCACACGTGGACTTCTGGAACTTGGTCAACAAGGTCGAGTTGCCAAGCTTCAATGACCGCTACAACATGTACGATGGATCATGGGCCGTGGCCTGCGGCTGGGGTCTTACCACCGCCGGCTCCCAGCCCGACTGGATGGAGTGTGTCGATCTGCAGATCATCAGCAACTCTGAGTGCTCCAGGACCTATGGCAACCAGCCCGACGGCATCCTATGCGTCTCCACGTCTGGCGGCAAGTCCACCTGCTCGGGCGACTCTGGCGGCCCTCTGGTCCTCCACGACGGCGGTAGACTGGTTGGTGTCACCTCCTGGGTCGCTGGCAATGGTTGCACCGCTGGTCTTCCATCTGGCTTCACTCGCGTCACCAACCAATTGGATTGGATCCGCGAAAAATCTGGTGTTTCGTACTAATAAGCCCGGTTTAAAATTTTAATAAAAAAAATTCATTAACAACAAAAACCATTTTACATTCATATTTACACAAACGGATTCCAAATGATTATTATTTTGGAAATAGATTAATTTTAATACACTTGTACATATGGCTACCAGAATGGAAATGATCCGTCCGCCTATGAATCCAATGCTTGTCCTCTTTATCGATCGTACGCGCTATAATTGATCTCGCTTTTTCTTGCCATAGAGCAGAGAATATTAGCCGTACACATTCCATTTATGTGACTCTTTAATCCTTCTCCTCCTTACCCTCGTCCTTTTATTCAAAGCCAGTTCATTGGTCTTTACATGGATATACTCGTATATGGCCAACCTGCCAGGACCCACAACGTTTAAATTACATTCGTAAATTCACAATATCATATAATTTTTCCCTGATATTTGGTAACTTTTAGTGGGCCCATAACAAAAATGATCATAACCAGATCCGGTCTAAAATAATTTTACTTGTCTATACTAAAAACAATGGATTAATAATTGTAATTTCATCCAAATAAATACTATATTATAATGTTTGAAATCTATTAGAGCGAACGGGAACGTTTTAAGCAGGCGTAATTATATTAAAACGTTAAAATTGACATTGAGGCCGATGTGACTGCCGCATGCACTTTCTCTGAGTTTTTTGGTATCACTGTTAGTAAAAGTTACGAATGGATTTGTTTGTTAATTTTAGCTTGCACTTGTCATGAGAGATGGAAAAAACAAGAATATTTATAATTTATGGGGTCATAAAAGCTTCCTGCTTACACTCATCCACATCCATCACAAAACTTATATATTCGTATACTCTTTGAGTATCGGGTATAACAAGTTCTTGGATTAATTTTTAAAATACTGTGTACACATACAATTTTGTTATATAGCGGGCTATTTAGTCCAAAAAAGTTCAGATGTTTATATTCCCCTTGATAGAATTTTCATATGCACATATGTATGTATGTATGATCATCGACAGCGACATCGTCCCTTATTTTCACATAATATATAATATATATATATATATATATATACATATAATATAATATGTATAAATACATATGTATTTATACGAATAAATAAATAATTTATCTGAAATATTCCTATGCAAATCAGATAATTTTTATTTCAATTGGTCGCGTCCTCTTTCGCTTCTAGTTGGCTGGCAATCACAACTTATCGGGGTATCAAGTGGAAAAGCCCACACGACGACTCTGATTGAGTCGCACAATCTCTTAATGAATGAACAGAGTGGGTTCGAGTAGAGTGGACTGGCATGGGCAACAGAAACTCGAAGATAAGATAGCCGGTCTAAGTGGATTGAACTTTCAAGTATCTATTGTACATCTCAAATATGATACCCCAAATCCCGCTATATAAATCGCTGTCGGGATTGGCAGTATTCAGTTGTATTCATCTATCCAACATGAAACTGTTCCTCTCTTTCCTGGCCCTGGCCGTTGCCTGCGTTTCTGCTATGCCGCAGATCGCCAAGCCTGTGCCACTGAAGGACGCAGTCCTTGGCTCGGCCTCTGGCTCCATTGAGGGTCGTATTACCAACGGTTATCCTGCATACGAGGGAAAGGTACCCTATATCGTTGGCCTGGGCTTCAGCAAGAGCGGCAGCGGCTGGTGGTGCGGTGGATCGATCATCGGCAACACCTGGGTGGTTACGGCCGCCCACTGCACCCACGACGCCGACTCTGTGACCATCTACTACGGCGCCCTGTTTCGCCTGCAGGCCCAGTACACCCACACCGTGCACAGCGGCAGCTTCAGACAGCACTCTAACTACAACACTAACAACTTGAATAACGACATCTCTCTGATCAACACCCCACACGTGGACTTCTGGCACCTGGTCAACAAGGTGGAACTGCCCAGCCACAACGACCGCTACAACACCTACTCCGGATGGTGGGCTCTGGCCTCCGGCTGGGGCAGGACTTCCGACAACAGCGGCGTCTCTGATTACTTGAACTGCGTCGACTCCCAGATAATTGACCGTTCTGCTTGCTCAGGCGTCTACGGCACTGATGTGGTCACCGACAACGTCATCTGCACATCTACTCCCGATGGCAAGTCCACGTGCTCCGGCGACTCTGGCGGCCCTCTGGTTCTCCACGAAGGCGGCAAGTTGGTTGGCGTCACCTCTTTCGTTGCCTCCAACGGATGCACCTCCGGTCTGCCTGATGGTTTCACCCGTGTCACAAGCTACCTTGACTGGATCCGCGACCACACTGGCATCTCCTACTAAATTTTTGCATTCTTGAAATATACCAGTCGCAACACTGCGTAACAGTTTTGTTTCCATTTTATTCTCGACCAAATAAGTTTCTGCTTGACAGGGATTGGCGTAGTCGCACTTCGTTCGTCTAGACATTGCCGCCTTATCGTCTGGGAACATACGCTCTAAGTACTATCTTAATAAGGAATCCCTTATCTGCCGCATTTTCAATAGAATTTTGGGGATTCGCTTACTTTGAATTTCGATAATGTGCCACTTTAATTGCGCAGCCTTAAAATACAATAGCGATCTTTTGGACCTAAAAAACATACCTAAACTTTAGCCTAATTATTCACATTCCATGCAAAATTTGTAAGATTAGATACCAAGCACAATAAATCAAACTGAAATACACTATAGGTAATCAATATGATTACAATGACGAGGCGCAAAATTATATTATAAGTAAAACTGGTGTTTTTTGAATTTGTATGAACTGGATTGAAATATGTAGATCAATACAAAAAGTCTCTACTTTTATACCCGTACTCAGTCAGTGTTCGTATGTGAGCTTATGTTTTTAGTCGAATTTTTAAATATTTTATTTGTTTAAATTTGTTTGCTACGTACGTCATCTACAACTACAACTCTCTTCTTACACCTCCAGCAGAGGTCGCACATGGCACAGAGTGTGCGAGCGTTAAAGAGAAAAAGTAGGTGCAGCGCTGGAAGGGGTGGGGGTGATGTTAGCAACTTATAATTAATTTCTTCATTCTGGCAATAGTAATAATACGATCTGATCCAGATTCGGCAATCTGGTAGATATGGAAACAAACTTAGTACAGTGTGATATTACGTGAGCATGGAAACAAAATTTTGTTGCTCCAGCTTTTATAGTCTCTATCAACCTCTGGATAAAGAACCTTCTAAGTTGTAGACGGGTGCATTCAGAGTGCGGCACAAGTCAAATACCTCGGTATAGTACTGGACAGCAAGGTGGCATGGAGACCCAATGTAGTGGAAAGGGTGAAGAAGGTCACCATTGCGCTATATGCATCCAAGAAGATGCTTAGCAGCACATGGAACCTATCACCTGCTCTAATGCATTGGATCTACATTTCGGTAGTGCGACCGACTCTGCTTTATGGAGTCTTAGTGTGGTGGCAGGCTACAGAAAAGAAGACATACAATCAGTTTATGGAGAGAACTCAGCTGAAGGCACTGCTCTGCATCACCGCACAGTGGTCGATTCTGCCAATCTGGCAGGCAATAATTAATAACTAAAAAAATAATTGAGTAATATTTTTACAAATATTTTTATATTTAAGAATAGTAGCCAACGCAATTTTAAAAACAATTTAAATGACCTCTTCATCTAGTTGCATATATTTTTTAGAAAGGCACTTCAGCCTTTTGATTTTGCTGATATTAAAGGGTCAGACGTCAGTTGAAGTGCATGAAATAAGTCCTCCATCGTGTTAAAACGCGAATTTTTTTGTGTGTGGTTCATCCTATAGTTGCGCATATCTTTATTTCGCGCTTCAAGCGCTTCCTCGGAAATCATGACGATTGCGGATGCTAAGGTTGGTTGCTGAAAAAGTTTTCTTGCAGTATTCCTATTATTGGTGTTTCCCGAACCCACCATAGGAATATCGACCAAAAGATCCATTTGTTTCCGCAGCTGATTTAGAATTTCGCTCTTTCTCTCTGCAACAATAGCTTTATCGTCTCCGCGAACCTGCCACTTTTTTATTCGAAGTCTATATGAAATGTGAATAATGCACTCAAAACAGCGGATCCATGCATTTAGAGTAGATAGCCCATATTCAAACAAATGTTCCTTGGGAGGTTTAGATAGGACTTGTTCTAAATTGTTTAACATTGTTGGAGTGGCACTAAAAATTCCGCAGACCAGCGATGATGACTCTGCAATCGAGCTGAAAACCTTTCCATCAATCATTGTTAAATGAAATTCATGATTAACTTCAAAACCATCAAAGGTTGTGGGAACAATTTTTTTGATTTGTTAATTTATTTGTGCAACTTCTGTATGGACTAAGTCCGCAGTTTCCTTCTCGAAAATAATCTTTATTGACCTGCAAAATCGAGATGACGAAGGACGTTCATTTTGCCAAATTACTGCATTATTAAAGTCTAGTATTTGCTGTGGAACAAGGCAAATGGAAAATATATGCTCGTCAACTATTCCAATTTCAGGATCACTGAAGCGCTAATGATAAGTAGAATGGCCACTGCTCCCATCACAACCCCATTTATATATGGCTTTAAATTCGGGACTGTTATCATGTGCTTTCATTTCTTTAAAGGCTAATTCCCATCCTTCAAATATCCTGGCAGTTGTGTGGTCAACCAATGACTGCAAATTGACTTCTGCCGGCGTAAAATGACGTACGTTATCTGCTTCAGTGCTTGTGTTCTTTTTTGCAGGGTTTTCCGAATCTAGTATTGATAAAACCTGAGAAGCATTTCTTTTGCCAGCATTGTATAAACTAACTCGAGTAGCTACTACCAATTCTTCGCAGGGAGTTTTGTTAACGATATCACTAACCCTTTGAATTTAGCGATGTTCTGTGCAGTCAGAAAATGGTTTTGTTGGGCGCCCAGAACTAATTGCAGCTGTTGCAGTAAATATAATTTTTTCGTTCAACCATTTTTCGTTGTGTTTTTGAAAATATTGTAAACATCTGTGGCACTCTCTCCACCTTTCGGCAACCTTAGATCCAAAATTAGTCAATTTAGTATTTATTTTCTTGCGATCTTCGTCGCTGAGTTTGTTTTCATCAATAATTTGAGAAAAAAAATGGCTTCGCATCGCTTCAACTTTTTTTCCTGGCACAGTTTCCCTGCGCCATATCGCAAAAAAGCGCGTTTTTCGAAACTGACATTTGTCCTATAAAATCAAACAAATTAACGTGTGGCACGTAGTTGCAATTTTTTTCATCACAGAAGATTAAAAAAAGACTGGTTTCATAAATAAAATAAAATTGAAGGCGGATGGGGACGGATGTCAAAAGATCTATTCCATGCAAGTGTCGGGTATGTTATTAATAGCACACTAAAGGAAATGTTAAGTTCTACAACGATTTACCACTAATACATGTAAGCACAGGACCAACACATATATTTTTTATTAAATACTTACCAACTATTATCAAAATGGATGGCAATTTTAATACAAATCGCAAAACATTAAGATTTATTTTGCTTTACCAAAAGCCATAAAAAGGCGGTAAAATGTACTTAGGTATGGACAGAAAAGTTTTCTGCGATTCAACCGCGTGCAGGTACTGGACTATCGATAGGAAAAATATATAAATATCGCAATAAATATCAGTGGGATGTTTACTTTCCAAAAATAAAAAAAAAATTAACAAGATTCGACATTTTAATTTTTCATTTATTGCCTGCCAGATTGGCAGAATCGACCACTGTGCACACGGGTGCTGAGGTCAACCCCAACAAAAGCACTCGAGACAATACTCGGAATCGACCCCCTGGACATCCACGCTCAACTGATTGCAGAAAAGGCTGCACAACGCCTAGTCGTATGAGGCAACATGTCGCTGCAAGGATTCGGGCACAGTTCAATTGGCCGAGACATGATCGGTATATCTGACTACATGATTCCCCCCTGTTGGATTTTAGGAAAATTGCCCGAGAAAATCCAAAGATGGCCATCAATTTTTATGTTGCTATTTATTCATAGTTTCATTTCAGCCTACTACTAGGTGGGAAGAAAAAACCATTTTTTTCATTCCCAAGGAGGTTACTTTTCACCCAAACTAGTAAATTTATAACTTCTGAGTGAATCAATATATCTTCATGAAATAAACTGCATTTGAAAGAGATATCTTCCAAAATGTAGTTTGCAATATAAAATGGTTCTGCAATGTCTAGAAGCTTTAAAATAAATAGTCAAAGTTTAACTTTGATTCCGGTGAATATTTGCCTGTTTGCGGTGAATTACTATATGTGCTAAGCTTTGTTTTTTTTGTCCATCGATAAATAAAGTTTAATGGTTATTATCACTACATATAATAATTTTAATTCTGGATCCTGTATGGGAATTAGAGCTGCGACAGCCCATTTTTGACCTCTGGAAAATTCTCTATCGGATTCGTGTATGGGATTTGTTCAAAGCGTACAGGTAGTACAATATATTCTAAAAATCATAATACAATATTTTAAGCCGAGTGTACCCCAACAGATTTTCATATTTTCTGGTGTTTTTGTTTTGGATTTTATGTTGTCTTTCAGACATATGCCAGAGAGCAGTAAATTGAATTTAATGCAAATTTCCCAGAGACACATACGAACTCTGAACTCCGGACCAGTACAATTTAATTTTCCGCCAGAAATAATGTTGTGACACGAATTTCTCTGTGCGGAGAACTGATCTTAAATTTATGAATATTTTCCCAACTTATTATTTATTTGCTAATTTATTTTCACTTTAAAATAAAATAAATTAATTTCCGGCATTTGCAGTTCATCAATAAGACTTGATATGGCTTCTCCCTGATGCTTCCTGTACCACAGTTTAGTATCCCCAAGAATATGGATACCATTTAAGGTGAAAATTAAAGCCAAAACCTGCACCTCAGGGCAGCTGTATAGATGGCAATAATGTATTGAAATTTCCTGGCAGAAGCAAAATATTGTATTGTCAAATACCTCTATTAATTGCGATCTCATGGACATTCCTGTTTCCTGCTGTTGAAAGGATTTAAGACGAACCATTCACAGATTCTAGGACACATTTTGTGTCAGACGGTGACATATTTCAATATGTATGGGGCACTCTGCTGTGGAAAAGGAGGGGAAGGCTGCTTTGCTTCGTGTGGCAGTCAGGTCTAATGACTGAATTAATTTAGAAAGCCACTTCAAAGGAGTGATGTTTAGAGGCCAAAGCTAGATTTGAGTCCAAACTTTTGAAAATTTCCACTAGGAACATGCCACATTTTTTTAAAGAAAGTCTGGAAAGTTTTTTTGCAAAAGGGGCACACTAGAAGTGGTTCAAGTTATACGGCAGCACTAACCATACAGTATATAGCCAAAATACTGTATATTATACAGTGTATATACTGTATACAGTAACCATACAGTATATAGCCAAAATACTGTATATTATACAGTGTATATACTGTATGGTTAGTGACGGCAGCCTCTGATCACCAGTCGATAAACAGCTATCGATAGTCTTGCTGAGCGTCGTTTAGAGCGGAGAGTCGTTCGTGTCGAGTGTCGAGTTGTACTTTGTACTTTTACGAGAACTAATTTAAGCACAAATTTTATCACGGTAGAAACATATCCTAAAATACTTTTAAATAAACACTGGAATATTATAATTTCGTACAGGTATACATTTATAAATGGGAGACATTTAGAGTATACTTTGAAATTTCAAACAAAAGTTGTTGCAGACATTGAGAGTATACTTTCAGTTTTGCTGGGAGAACTTTCCTATTTAAATGCCATTTGTAGGATAACCACTCTCTTAAGCATTTTTAGCTTGGACCACAAATCATTTCCCTTTTACCGTCAGGCAACCGTTTAGACAAAACATTTTCGGTTTGACTGCAACACCAAAAGAAGGGGATCTCTCTAACCTTGTACCAGTTGGACAATAAAAGTGTTTGCCAAAATCCCAAAGAGTTTTCAGTCTAGTCGGTACAATTGTTCCAGCTGTGGGATATTACGCAGCTTAAGTTCGTATAAGAGAAGCATAAATAGATTTTGTGACCACTTTCGTCTCTTTATGAATGAAGTATGAAAGAATAAACAGAAATGATTCTTAATAAGATAAAGATGTGTATTATGATTATCAAACGAGTATTCTACGTTTCGTTTTCACTAAAAAAAATGACAAATTTGGAAGAAGAACTTCTAAATATGAGAAAATTCCATAGCCACTATTATCTCTTAAATTCACTCAAAAGAACTTAATTCCAATAAATATTCAATTCAAATTTTTGTTTCTTACTAAAAAGTAAGGGGTGCATATCCCTGGGTACGCCCTTGGCCACTACATAGATATTTAATTAAGAATTAATACATGACTTTATTCACTAAATAATGAAAAATGCCAAATTCTGCATTTACCGTTTAATTTTGCTGGACTTCAACATACTCCTTCAAAATAATAATAATATCATTGTTGGTCAATCAACATGAATCTTTTATTATTTTGGTACGAAAAATGTTTCGTGTGAGCAACCCCAATTAAAAATCCATTATGCAAATACAAATGCAAATACAAATACAATTCCCATCCAAGCTCCTTCATAAATATTCATGTGTCAACCGCAAGACTAACCAAAATAGATTTTTTGGCAACCAAAGTAACCATTCGTGGATGGGTGAAATGTTTCACTTCTGCGATTCAGAATTTACATATTTATTCGGGACGGGTGGAGTTCCTGTACTCTCACACTTTGTGGGACTCTGAACTTTAAGGCCACTGTGAATATCCCAATATCATCCTAAATATTTTATAAAATTGTTTTGGAGCTTCCGTTGAATTTTCCTGTCTATGCTCTCAGGTCAAAAGCACTTAACAAACTTTCACCTACTCTCCACCTCTATCTGTATTGCTTTCTGTATCTGCCTCTCCACTTACTTTGAGAAGTTTTTAGGGAGGCAAAATTTCCATTTTCATTTGGGTCATTGGAGATTTACTGCGTTCAAAACTTTTATTAGAAAAAGGTAAAAGGCTGTTGATTGGCAGCTTAAATTTTATATATCCTATGAGGGATTTTTGGGCCTATCCGGTGAATCACTTTAATGTTAGTATTTACTCAAACATGTTTCTTGTCTGCTAGGAGTGTTTTCGATTGATGTATTGTGTCCCTTTTACATTGATTTAATGCTTATTAAATATGGATTATGGGAGAGCGTCTGGATTTAATTCCTGCCTGGTTACAGATTGCTCCTCATGAAATATAATGGATTTTTGGGTCTTTGATAATATCTAAGGTTAAAAGCTGTAGGGATCCTCCGCCAATTGCTCTCTATTTAAGGACAATAAATTTATGTTTGCGACCTCGCAAAAACCTCCCTTTTGGCTTTTAATTTTAGTTTGTAAATGTTTTTTCCACACTCAGTGTGTCTCTGGTTTTCAATTAATTTTGCGTTACACAAAATAAAAATGATCCGGTGTTGATCCATTTTAAGGTGCTCCCTTAGTCGTATTTTTTTTTGTCATTGATTTTCTCATGGCTTCTGACGAACAAAAAAAACTGCCCTCTTCGTATTGCCGATGGGCCTTGCACCAAACTCGTATTTGTAGAAGATGTAATGACATCGTACGCACTGAAAATAAATCCGAATAAAATAATAGTGGATCGATCATCTTCGTGATAAAACAGCTATGGCCACTTTTGAATAAAATACAAACAAATTTTCCAGACATTTCTTAATTTATTTGAAAATAAAACTGTGTCACATTATCAAATTAATATACTGAATACTAATAATCTTAATATATTTTTTTGTTCTCCTGTTGGTAAAAAAACTGGCTAAAAGTGCCTTGTGCAGACGTGACTGAACCTGGAATTATAGGAGTTAATATAATGCTTCTATTCTTGTGAAACATATACCTTTTTCCAACCGAGATTTCCTGCACCAAGCCAACGACCAAGGCAATCATCGCTAAGTAGAGAGGGCTGATTCCAACATCGTACGACAACAACAATAGCATCTTACGGTAGAGGGTACCGCAGCAAGTTACGGCGATAACGGCGAGAGGTCCATCATATACAGAAGATAAAGAAAGCCTGAAAATTAAAACTATATCTCGATCAAATTTAGTGCAATTTGAGCATTTTCATGTATGCGAGTGAAGGGTAGATATTCCACAGTTGGTTCGGTGAACTAATGCATTTTTTTTCATGTGTATATTTTGTGTGTCTGTTTCAGCAGTGACGAATTTAACGTAATCTTGGGAAGGAAGAAAAGAAATAAGCAAGCAAACAGTCCCAAATGTATGAAAATAATGTCTCAAGCGCTGAAGTTGTTCGAGGTTATTAAATTATGTGGTGCCTGATATTTTTATATCAGCGATACCGAAAATACCACCAACATCATCTCAACAACTAAAGGCCTTCGGCGAATATGAATGGTTTTAAAAGGATAACTAAACTTTTTTAATCGGACGGGGATTTTCCAATTTCTCGCAAACCTTCGCAAAGAAAAAATATTGAAGAATCGAAGACTATTTGAGACTTTGACTATCTACAACTAACATTTTCGATGGTATGCAATGGAGCCTTGAGGGCTCATAATTTGCTCAGGTATTTTTACCACGCATCCTGAGATTGGTAAAAAAAACTTTTGGATAATAACAGTTAAAATTTATGAAGGCAGAAAGTAGAAATATTTAAATTTAATGTTCAACAATTTACGAAATGATTTCGCTTGCCCCCCAGCCGGGACTTCAATTATCATATTAATTTAGGAAAATTTTAGTGTTTTAAAGAATTTCATTTGAAATTTCCCAGGGATATAGAGGGATGAGTATGGGGATAGGAATTTGCAACCGAGATTTTAGTACGATTAGTTTGCGATCAGGCACACATCGTCATAGTCCCGAAATCCGTTGGAGTGGAGCAACTTGAACCGGAACTTATTTTGGGAATTGTTTAGCGAGCGGTCAAGTGCTGGCAAAGGGGTCAGCAGTACTCTCTGACATTTTAATGGAAGGAAATGTAATAAAGTATACAAAAAAAAATTGTATATTTCTCTGTGGGAATAAGAGGAGTGTGGAATGGTGTGCTGTCCAATTCCCACTATTACCCCATTAAAATTTAACAATGTTTGGCAGCCTCGTTTTGTCAACAGATGTGCGCTTGACTTGCCAAAAAATGTCGTATGTCTCTGCAGGCCATCCTCTGTCCTGTGTCTTCTATCCCTGCCTTTATAGGATTTATGTTCACATATCTACTTATGCTTGAGCACAGAAAAACTACAAAACATCCACCTGGAACACGCTCGGAAAATTCTCTCCAAGCGTTGCCAACTGCAAAGCTCCTGCCACACGAATATCACTGGTGCTGAATAAAACACTTCGATGTGTACGGAACACAAATTCTTTATATCCAAGATTTTGAGTGGACTGTATTATAATTAGTTTTTCTTTTTACGCAGCCTCCATGTCCATCATGTTCTGCTGTAGTCGTAACACTTAACATTAAAAAATCTCAAAAGTGCGACGCAGCACGACCAAAAATACCAAACCAATGTGAAAAAATTTAGTGTTCACAAATACAAAAAGAAATTTAAGAAATTCTATAACGGCTACAATGCGTTCATCAACAATCACTCTTTACAATAAAAGAAATATTGCCTCTGGTTATGGAACAGGAAAAACCATGGTTCTGCATGGCATTCGTTTTTTTTTCCCTTAGCACTTTTTCCTCTTGTTTAGTTTTAATGTAATCGTGTGTTGTGTGTAAATATTTTCCCCGTCTTCCCCGTACATCTTCTCATTCTTATCATATTATGTCACGACTGACTACATATTGGAACCCATTTAATGTAAAATCTCAAGAAATTTACGGATTGTCGAGACTCTGATCCAAATCATGTTCCTCATAGTGTACAAAATGATTCCCCATCATAGTTCAGTCCAAAATTATAAATAGTCTAGCTAGTTGTTTTTCCCCAGTGCCCGAGATGCAATATATTTTATTTCCTGGCTCAGTGAGGCATCAACTTCAACTTCGGCGCTTACAGAATCCTCCCAAGCAACGAGAACAAACAAAAAACGACAGCCGTAGCTAGTGTAAAATTGTTTTGACTCAAAAACAATAGGAAGAAGTGTGGTGTGTCCGAGACGGTGTATGGTAATTTTTCCACTCCCGGGACACAGCCTCCTTCTCTGAAAGAAGAAAACAAAATTAAATCTGCCCGCAGCTGAATAGGAGAGTAGATGGTACGAGTATTGTTGTGTGTCGAGGATTTTTACGAACTGAAGTTTCCTCTTAAGTATTGGCATTTATCTGGAATTTCTGAACTGTTGACTGGCTAGTCAGGTCCTAGCCGACGACAGTGAATAAAAAAAAGGCAAATCCGCACAACTTTCACAGTTCAATGGCAACTATTTCAAATGCGTTAGAACAATATAAATACTGAAAATGGAAGGCATTGTTTTTGGAAATCCAACTTTTATTCAAAAAATTTGACAGACAATACGATGAGACAGTCACTGATGGTTTGTTGTGTCCTTTTATGTAACTATGCATATTTAATGATATTTATTCTGAGAACAGAAAAAGGTTTTATCACAAAAGTTTCACACGAAGTATACGTGTATACCCGCTAACTCTGACTAAGATACCTTTAACTTTACTGAAGTAAATTTAAGTATCTGTTTTTTGTCGATACGTATTAAAATTTTGACATCCGCCTACAAATGCTCTTTGAAATTCATTAAAAATCTTTTCTCAGAAGTTTGTCTTGAAAATTCTTTTTCTCTATTTTGCTTATATTGGAATCAATATCCTTTGCTTATCATCAATATAAAAATGGGCAAATGTCTGCCCATAGCACTAATAGAACCACTGCACGAATTTCCCATGGTTACGCAATTTATAATTTAGTTTAGCAAATAAACACTGGGCCCAAAAGACCCAGAGCTAACTAAGGGAATTTCCCAACGATCCTAATAATAATGATGATGATGAGACTAAGTCAATGATTTTACATTGCCATTGAACTAAGGATAATTGTGCCATCTGTTTGGCCAGGCCCAAGGATTCACCTTAATGAATAGTTCATATGCATTTGGTTTGGCTTCCACGCACTGGCTGCTGCCCTAATTACCATATCTAAGGCCTAATGAGCAAAATTGAAATAACAACCAGATGCACAGAGCAGACCCAAACAAATGGATATAAATTAGTTGCATTTAAATTGCCTATGCCCCATGCTCTTTAAGATGTTTGTCCTAGTGTTGTAGATGCTTGTGGGAAATTCCTTGGACTTGTTGCCCCTGGCACCCATAGAATGCAGGACCAGTGCTCCTGACATTTGACACTCGATATAATTTTTATTTTACGAGAAACTTGCAAGTGCATTTTATGGTTTAAACTTTAAAGATAAACATTTGCTTTTCAAATTTTCAAATTTCCCCGAAAGCAAATATTATTTTTAGCAATTTTCTTCGCACATCTAAATGCAATTTCTGCATGCTGTTCGCTTTGGAATTTCGTGCCTTTCGAGTTATTGTGCCATGCCGGAGCAAACGTGCCCCATCCAATAGGTAAAGCTGCGTTGACAAGTCGCCCCTTGAGGAGGCAAGGAAGGAAGTACCCGCCAGACAGCACAGGAAGAGGGTGTTAGGGTGTTAGAGGGTGTGTTGTGAGAGCTAGGTTTGCTTACTTTTTTTTTTTGCATCACTTGTCCTTTTCTATTTTCTTTATTTTTATACTTTTGCCAGCCATATCATATGCCCGCACAAAGCGAGAGAGACTAGAGTGCGTCCCTGACATAAAAATGCTCATCTCTTCATAGCCAAGTGTTAATGTACTGCGCAGTGTAATGTGTATGGTTAGATTTTCGATGCAAAATAAATCATATAAAAGCAAAAAATAAATAAACTAGAGATAGAAATAGGCAAAGCGAAAAGGAAAAACAATTAAATGCTTTTGTGATAATTTGATTTTGAAAGAATTTTTGTTGTGCCTTTAGTCTTTGTTAAATTGTTTAGCAGAAAGTATTTACTTTTGGGTTTATTTTTAGATATTTGTATTTGGGAGAGTCATATATTCATTATTATTCATTACAAACACACGTCTTTGCCAATGAGGATTTCAACTACTTAGAGATCGCTTTCCTTAGACTATGCATTCCACTAACATTTTGTTTGCAATTAGTTCGACATTTTTCCCATGGGTCTTAACTGGGACAGCCGCCAGGGTAAACTAAGAGACCAGGACAAGCAACTAGCAGACAATTACCTCTGTATTAAGGGATTGTTATTAAAAAAAATCCTGCCATGGCGCACATATTTCTGGGCATAAGTGAACGGGCTATGAAAAAAAGAAGAGAAGTGTACATAATTCGTAAAAGAGCTCGGATCATGCTTTCGCTTTTGTTATGTCAGGTAAAAATTGCGGCCATAAAGATTACGCGAATAAAAACTTAGAGAAACTGGGAATAAGCACTTGCTTACTTGTTAAAGAGAAAATGGAAACACGAAAGGCTTAAATCAACTGAAAACGCTGTACAAGTGGCCCATCCAGGGCCAAAGGATAATAGACAAAGCATGAAAAACTGGAAAGAACAAAAGAACGAGCGATTAAAAAGCCGACATGATGAAGTCAAGCAAGTTGATTAAAGCTTGTCCAAATATATCCATTCTGCTTTTTTTTTTCCTGTGACTTGCTATCTGTGGATGTACGAGAATAAATTCTACGAGTATAAATCTTTTTACGATTCTTAACCATAGAGTCTTTGTGTGGGGCAGTTTGGATTTTACTTTTGTGCCACGTCACAAATAACAGTAACAAGGATTCCCCGTTTGTTACCAGCAGGAGACGTTTTGCTATACTTCTGATTCCGTTGGCTGCTTATAAACATTATTATGTCAGAGCGGTGTGGTGGTGAAGTACATCTTTTTAGATTGGGGGCTATCCCACGGTCTGAATTTTGCTGGCATTCACTAGAATTAATTTCGAAAACTATAAAGCGTCTGATATACGGAACGTTTTTAAACGACGGCTATTTTATTCCAAATAACACAACAAATAAATGAAATTTTGTCACCAATTTATTTCACTGCCGCAAATTCAATGACATACCAGGAGTCATATTTAATAGATTCTATCATTGTTGTAGATTCTATCATCATTATTAGAACCATTTTTTTACATTTTTCGTAACACTTTTCCTGGATGTCTGACAAAGTTCTCTGATACCTAAAACGTACATTATTTACATCAGCACCTCGATGCGAATGGCCAAATAAAGCAACAATAATGCTTCCAAAGGATAAACATAGATCTTCCTTCTGTAAAAAAACATTTCTGCTGGTCAATATGTTGACCTAACTCAAAATGTATTTACCATAAACCAACATCCTACGTCTTCGAGTATGTGTGTACGTAGATGACGTGGGAACAAGGACTCCAAAATGAAGAGTAAGACAACATTTATTTATACAGTTTTCGAAAGTGCATCCAAAATTGGAAATAAACTTTTATTCGTATTTATTCTTTTGCATTTACGTTGCTGACGTTGGCTTAAAGTTTAGCTAAACTTTTTTGAGATGCCAGACAGTGTTTTTGATTATAAAAACTGAGGAAACTGATTACGACGATGCTCGGTTGACTTAGCTATACAACTACACTAACTGAAAAAGAATGGCCAGAAGAATATCGGGGGCGTTTAGTAAGACAGCCAGAAAATCAAGTTTGTCTTCGATGCGACATCAAAAAGAAATCTAACCACAATAACAAGTCCAACTTTGAACTAAAATTTGGCTCAATCCTAAAGCCGTGAATAAAAGGAGTCGGGGACAGACGACAGGCTTAAATAGAGTTGAATTCTTAATATTTTATATAATATTTTTATTTTATTTTTGCACTCTTGCAAGCTATTTGAATGCAACGAATTATAATGTATGTGCTCAAAAAGTATTTACAAGCTCTAACCTTTTTTTTAGGCTTCCGGTTGTTGTGTTTTGCCAGTAGAAAGAGCTTTCAAAAGTTGCCTTGCTATCCCCATGTTTATAGCGAGTTCGTGGGTCTTTCTTTTCTGCACTTTTTTGTTCCTTTTTCATGTCTTTGCTCGCTTTCATGCAACATGCTTTTCACCACTTGTCACAACCTCTTCTTTCTCACCATCTGTCTTTAGTTTGGCGATTAGTCAGGTGAAAAAATCAACTTTCTGGGTATTGCTGACAGTTCCATGAAAGATTAAAAAAGAACCAAACAAAATGAGCGAAAAACCTGTTTAAACGCTCCGACAACACAACACGTGATGTACCTTGTTGCAATTTTTGTTGCATTTTCAATATAGTTTTCAACCTAGTTTCTCTGGAGCTGTTTCATATCTTTGTTGTGCCGTCTGGGGCCTGGGGATATGTGAAGTTTTCCAGTGTTTAATTTCACTCTGTGAAATTTATCTGCGTTATCCTAAAGGTTGAGGATGTGCGGATTAATGAATGTTCAGGTTGGAGTTTTTCTTGGCTTTTTGGTGGAGAATTTCTTTTACAATTTATTCCGCATGCTGCAAATTAAATTAAATTTCGTAATTTTCTGTTTGCTTGGAAATTTGTTGTGTTTTTTTCAAGTATTTTATTAATTTATTTGGCAAGATATTTGTATAGTTTTAAAAGATTTTGTTTAGCCAGAATATGATTTATGGTGTTTTTTAAGAGCTGGAAGAACATTTATCAGTGCTCATTTCGGCAAAAACAATGGCAGAATATTTCTCAGGTCGCTATGCCTTGAAATATTTTCTTCCGTTCCCTCATTGACGATTCCATCATAAGCTATCAAAATTTTTTTTTATATCCAGCTAATTTCCTAACTTGTTCATTGGAATTCTTCAATCTACAGTTTCAAATAACAAACGTATAAGAATTATTATATGCATTTTAGCTGTTTTTTAATATATTATTACACTCTTATTTGTATTCTACTTATAAACTTTCGTTCATTCATTTTGAATCAAATTTCATATATTTGCAATTTTTGTTGATAAAATGGACGACCTAATGGGACTTGGTCGTTTAGTCGTATGCAAATAGCATACAATCAAATATGCAAATTTGTTTACCAACTTAAGAATATGTAAAAAATTTGACAACAAGGCATTTTAGCCTCTCTTAGAATAATATATTTATATTTTTATTTTAAACTTTCAAAACAAATTGCAAGTGGAGAATTCCTACTAATTTTCTATTTAATCTCTAGCATTGCCCATGCTTGGATATTTGTCATCATTGTCCCACACAATAAATAGAAACTGCTAAGGAGCGATACAGACCGGAAATGAATTTTAATAAGAACAGAGGATCCTTTTTTTTTACTGCTATAGGGAGAGGTGGGATAATTTTGCGCCAAGTTGTATCCAAGTTCATGAAAAATTGTTGGTTATAAAGCGTTTGCTGCTGTTTTATTGCGGTTGTTAATTTGAATTAATTAGCGACAAATCCGTGGGAGAATGAAGATAAAGAAGGACGAATAAGAGAGGTTGTGGTTGTGAGACTTTGGACTGTGATAAAAGGAAAGGTCTTCCTGGATATAAAATTTTGAATATACAGGAAGCGGAAACACTTTAGATTCCTTGTTATTGTTTATTGTTTAAATTTTTGTTCTTTTTCCCTCCTAAAATTGGTTTATTTCTTCTCTGTGTTCCGTCGTTGGTATATTTCTTTGGCTTATATTGTTATATCCGCTTTTGTACCACTTGTGATACTGGGAAGCAAATACATTTAATTTTTACCTCAGGCATTTCAACAAAAAGAGCAGATGATTACTGTTACCCCTTGCAGTACACCTAAAGTCGATCCAGCGAGACACTGTACTTAGACTTTACACAAAACTGGAAAAAGCAAACAAAAACTAGAAACTAAGGCTTGCAGAGAGGGACCGAGGCTGGGAGCACTTTGTATAGGTATCAAAACACTTGGCTGCACCGAGTGCCAGTGAAAAGTGTGGAAAAATGCGATAAAATACCCAGAAAAGAAAAAGAAAAAATGGAAAATTTAAAAATCCAAGCACACACAAACACATACACAAAAAAGACGGAGGAGGAGAAGAAAGTTTTCAACTTTTCCGAATATTACTTACCCGCTTCGCCGAGTTTTGTAGTTTGCTGCATATGCCGCCCAAAGTGCTCGTACTCCCCGCTGAATGGCGCCTGGGTCGCTTTCATCGCCTGCATGTGCTTCGTGAACGCGCCGACAATGGCCGCCATCCGATCGAAGGCCGCCATATTGATGTGGCCATTTTGTAAGCTGCAAAAACAAAAGAAAAAGGAGGTGGAAAGAACGACCGTATGAGTGGCTGCGAATAAGAAAAGTATTTTTTGCTCGATGAAAAAAAATCAAGGGTTTTATTTGCAATGCAAAATGGTCAAAGACTCAAATGGTTTAAGAGGAGAAAGGGATTTCTGGGAGAGGGTTTCGGGGTAGGGGTTGCTATGCAATTAATGCAGCGACGCACAGTGGGGCCTCAGCCGTAAAGAGGTGGAAAAATTCAATTAATTTTTTTAACGCTTTGGATAAATCCAATACACTAATCCGATAGAGAATTTTCCAGAGCTTTTAAAAATGCAAGTTTAAAATCAGATTTTTAGTTTAGGAGATATGAGCAATCAAAGTTGAAAATTATTTCCGTGTGCAAAAATGTATTCAACTTTTATTTTTCATTGAATATTGATAAAAATGAATACACCTAGCAAAAGGACCCAAAAACAGAATGTTACCTCACACAGTTTACTTTTTATTTTACCTGAAAGATGCAGTATGAAACCCAAAAACAGAATGTTACCTCACATGAAATGAAATGAAATTACTATAAGAATGACTATAAGAAGATAATAAAATCTTATATACACCCATAGAAAATAGCCATGAAATTTGTATATTTTTACTAAGATTTTAATATTTATGCCATTGATCTTCATCCAAGAGTGATTGTATTAAAATTGAATTCTATTTGTAAGTGTACATTTTGATATAAATATGAAAATATTAAAATTTAATATGTTTCATATTTAATTTAATATGTTTCATATTTTATTAAAAAAAATCATTTTTAAATTGAATATGTTTTATGTTTAAATTAATAAGCATTGCATGTCATGAACTGGTTAAAGTTTTCAACAAGAAGTAATCTAAACCTACATAAAACTGTATTGGTTGTGATATTGCCCCTGCGCAAAGGTAAGTTCACTAATCCTGACATTTGTATTCAAGGCGGTAGCAGCTTGAACCAGTTGGGAATTCAAGGAATTAATATGGAAAATTAAAAAAAAAAATTGTTTTTCCATTTGATTTCAAACTATGTATTCAATATGACTATGCAACATATTAAACAACAAATTTAATATATTATAGTTATTTTAATTTTATTTTATTTTAAAGTGTTTTGTATTTAGATTAAATATGACCGTATTTAAATCAAAGTGAACTCTATTTAATTTTACTATATTTTTATTTAAAAATCACATATTAAAATCAAATTTTACTATGCCTTTTCTATCAGTGTATGTATAAGAAAAAGAATAATAGATAAAAGACATTTCAACGTTTCCATATTTCAGTATAAATTACCTAGACTACTCATGCGTTTATAATTACTACATATATACGAATATGTATACTCGTACTCGCTTGAAAGTCTAAGTGAGCTGACTAGTTCCTGCATGCTTACTGCCGATGCATTCTTGATTGTTTGTTTCGTTTGGCCCAATGGGACTAATTTGCATGGCGGGAGTACAGAAGGAACATGGGTTTTTAGTGGGGATTTTCGTGGTCCATCCATGGGATAAGAGTCAGTCATATCAGTCTTCAATAAGCTCATTGACAAGAAACTGCACAGAAACATATCTGGTTTCGAGGAATTTTATTTTAGTTCTCAATAATGAAAAAGTAAATAAATTATACCAATAGAATAATTAACAGGGAACTCCAACTTTAAAATAATTCTTCCCCAAATCCAATATTTATTTCCGTTCCAACGCCTAAATAACAATAAAATATTTTCTCTCCCAAAACAAACATGAACATCATTAAGCTTGAATATTCATAAATCAATTTGATTTGTGCATCTGATAATTCCAAACACACGCTTTAAAATTAATTGAAAATAAAATAAAAAGAAAACAAATATATGGAACGAACGTGTTTTTATGCCAATGATTCCACTGTTCAATGCGTCCCTTGAATAATATAAAAATAAATTATTGTAAAAAGAAGAGCCTATTTATAGCCTTTTTTACAAATTGAGTTGCTATGAAAATGATTTTTATCCTCATCGCTTGGCACATAATCATTTGTTTGGCCACTCTGCGGTTAATTTAATTTAAAACATTAAAAAAATATAAGTATAAATGAGCGCATGAATATATATTCACACTAAATCCAATTGCTTGTGGATGCGGATGCGTATGGGGATGATCAATATATTAATCATTTGACATCTTTGCAAGAAATTTATTCGCCAATGGATTTGGTGGGTTTGTGTTTTAAAACTGCTGTTACACGATACTTTTTCTGCCGACGTAGCTAAATAAAAGCAATAATTAAACAGAAACTCTACTGGTGATAATTGCAAATATTTTTTTTAAATCATAGAGATTTCACCGCTTTAGGTACATTTTCTACATACTAGTATTTATTCGTGTGCAAGAATAATCCATTTTAATCCATTCGATTTTTGAATTGTTGTTTCTTTACATGTGCAAGAATTTTACGTGACCTTGAGGTTTTCTCGTCGGTGGAAAAGGTATCGTATAACATCAGGTAATAATGTAACATCAATCAAATTGGGAGGGTTGCAGGCAAATTAAACTTACCGCTGCAAACAGTTCTCCCGTTCGCCCAATGCCAATTTAACAATATCCGCAAACACTGGAATAACAACCCAATCATTGGGTTTGCCCAATGCCGTTCCCGTTAATGGTGTGACAGGGGATGATGTTGGTGGCTGCTCCGCATTGCTGTTGTCAGCCGCAGGCACTGTCCCTGTTTCCGGTGTCGACATTGAATTCATACCGGAAGTGCCTGTTAGGCCATCTGGTCGCCCACTAGCAGTCGTACTTGTCGACGGTCTCTCATCTAAGTCCATTGATGTGGTAGCTCCTCCTCCAGATGCTGTTGATGCTCCTTCTCCTCCTATTGATGACGACGACTTGTCCTTAGCCTGCTTATCTGTCTTGAGACTTTGTGGTTGGCCCTGTTCATTTAAGACGATTGCCTGTTTCTGCCACAAATGACCATGTCCCTCGGCATGTCGCTGCATGCAATCCAATTGTTGGCACGTCACTTGCAATTTGCTCCACTGTAATCAAATCGAAATCCATAAATAAACATCATTTGTAGTTGTAATCTTGATAAGACGAGACCCTGCTCTGCCCCGACTTTCCCAACATTTTATTTGCTTTGTTTTTTTAGATTTTCTTTTTGTTTTCTGGTGTGTGTGATTGTGTGTTGTAAAAGTTTATGGTTTTGTTTGTTCTGTTTGTGTGATTTTTATGTTTGTAATTTGCGCCGAAAAGCTTTAGATCGAATTTTATGGGCGACATTTGGTCTCTCGCTGATAACATATTAATTAGGATTTCTAAAGGAATCATGGAAATACCCCTCGGTGATTTTGTTGTCATTAAATGTTGTGTGACCCAGAGTATGTACATACATCTTAAATGATTTCGGATATTTATTTGGATTTCATTAAAATAGGACTTTCTTTTGTGAGCCAACAGGAGAACCTACTCGTAAAGAAGAAAATGTATTTTATATTCTGCTGATAATTTAAAATTTTCTTTCGTAGAACTCTTACTTTGTGGCTACAGTCAGCAACACTTCTGCCATCGTACAATGGACACTCATAAAAATTTCAGCAACCACTATAGAAATTTATTTACATATACAGACATCTCTGGAACACACGCCCACGACCCAGAACAACGAGTATCCACAGTTACCATTTTGCGTAGTTCTGTAAATTTATGAAATTCTTTTGCATTTTTTATGGGCAGCAGGAATTTCTGTTCTTTTTTTCTCGATGCGCATTGCACAAAATTCAGCGGCCAGCATTGTAAAGGGAAATGTACAGGGCGCTTTACAATTTATGACCAACGAAATGCAACAACAATGAGAATTATAATTTAAAAAGAAAGATTGGTGAAAGCCAGAATTACATCTATGTTGAAAAGGTTTGAAGCTGATGATGAAATTTTTTTTCATAGACTTCGCCCTGCTTGCATCTTTCAGGTAACACAAATATTACTTCCACTGAAAGTACTAAAAGTAAGATAGTGCATTCCAACCTGAATACCGTAATAAGCAGATGAACCGCACCAAAATTTCAACTCTATAATGAATAAAATACAAGCCAATGGCATTTAATGCACCAAAAGTAAGAACGTACCTTTTAGTTTGTTTTTTTCTTCGTCCATATTTATAAATGGCAAAAGGAAAGCAAAGCCTAGTGTTAAAATGTGCTTGCAACAAAGGGAGAAAGAGTCAAGTAAAAAAACGCGGAATCCATTAACTAATTAAAATGTTTTTTAATGAAAACTTTCTTCATTTGCCGCTGAATGCACAACAACACGCGGGGGTCTATTGAAGGAAATCTGGGAAAATGGCAACCGGGCGAAAGGTGTGAGCGATGTGTTAAAAAAAAGTGAGTAAATGAACTCTTTACTCTTTAGCTGTAGCGAAACTGCGGTAACTTGGGCGTTGAATTGCCCCATTCGTCCAGCATTTTTTTTTCGAAAGGTAAACCTTTGGGGAAACAAAAGTAGGGAAAAGGCCAAAAAACTTCATTGTTATGATAACATGGCACAGAAAAGGTGGCAGAGATGGAGGCCAAACTCAAGGGCTAATTAAAATTTTTTCTTAAATAAAGAATTCCCAAGTGAAAGTTTACTTCAAGAGCCTAAAACAATGGGAGTAAAAATCCAAGTTAGATTTACAAAAGAGTATGGCCAATAAAATCAACATAATTAAATTGGAGTACGAACAAATACCATTTAGGGGAGTACTCTCATATTACTTTGGTATTCTTTCAATATTTAACTAGACACCGACGGAAGCAGCCCGGAAAATGGTATGAAATCTTTTAAGCTCCTTTACGCCAAAATGCATTAGGATGCATAAATATCTGCTGACACGAACAAATATCCTAGGCATCGGGTCCAGCCTCGAGGAGAAAAGATTTCCCTCAAACTCACACACACACAACATAAGAATACTAAGTGAAAATGATGGAGCAAAGCGAAAAAGCAAATTTTCTTAAGGCAGCTTGTTTGGCTTGCTTTGTGAATAGGGTTCTGCCCTTGCTAAGCAGGAGTTTGAATGGAATTTTGTGATGCATTGAAGAAAGTTCTATCCGACGACAGGACGACAGTGTATTTAGATGTTCGGCCAGTACAAGAAAGCTTTTTTCCTTATGCTTAAAAAAGAGCCTCCAGCGTTGCTTCATAACTTTTTACTAAATTCAATTACACTGCATAAGGGGCACACACTCACACACAAAGGTAGATGCACATCCAGATCCAGGGGCAAAGATTCGGTATTGTTATTTCTGCCCTTTGCCATGTCTTCTCTGAGACGATTACAACACTACGATACATTCGTATACGACATGAATTTTATCATAGCATTAGGCTTAAGTCTTTCAATACTATGTAGAAATTCATTCTTCCCGCTTAAGAGAAATGTAGTTTGAATTAATGTACTTCTCCAATTATTTTCCATTTGTGTTGAAAACAGAAGTATCAGTGCTGTGCCTTAGCTCCAATTAAAGTTTCCCAGCGCCATTTGCTAGGGGAATTATGAACGAATCCATTACGCAGTTTTGCCACGTAATTTTCCTATAACATTTTAGTAAATTTTAATTTCTAGCATTTATTCCCCGAATTTATGACGGCGCACGTTCCTCTGATTGTCGGTCATGATTTTCGTTAGCTTTTGTCTCGTTTTGAAAGTGAGTGAATGGAAGTTTTTCTTTTTCTTTGTTGTAGATTCTAATAGACCTGAGACCTTGAAAAGTTAAGAATTTAGAACCTAAGGTTATTTTACTTTAAGCAATAAAAATTTAGTTTCTGTGTAATAAAATTTGCTTAAATGAAGAAATTTGTGATAATGTTGAAACGGTAGAAGAAAGTATAAAACATTTAAAGAAATCTGTAGAAGCGCTGAGAGCTGTGTAGTTGCTTTGTACTTCCATGGGTTGATCAAAGGAGGAACATGTGCACAAATGTTAATTTTTTATTCGAGGGGCTGTTCAAATATTGTCTAAGAAACTAAGTGAAAGGGAAGTTTGGATTTAAGAAGTAATTAAAGGATTTAATTTAGTTAATTTTACCATATCTCTACGTCGCTCTCTTATTTTGTATTAAACAACTGCATGATCTTTTACTCCCTTCTAAAACCGAATAAATTCGAAGAGAATATTACTAATACATAAATGCTTAAATAATAAAAAATAAACCATCAGAATCGTTGTGGTTACTTAATTACAGCAAAAATATTATTATATTTGTACATAAATTGCGATAAATTCGTTTTTGTATGTTTTATTCCATAAATACAATAAGTTCCACATAAATTATCAATTTTTTTCCGACATATTACAATACATAGGAGTGTTTTCACTTAGCATTGAGGGCGTGATTTGACTCACCGAGATTTGCAGCCTCGCTATCGCGGGTGATTCCAGAGATTCCAGAATGGCTGTTGCACTATTATAGTTGCCCACAAGCAGACAATACTGGGCCACGCCACTCCAGCGCTCAACGGTGCGACTCCGGTCCTCGATGCCTTCACACTGGAATGGTGATGTTTCAGCCAAAGAGATGTCCCAAGGTGCAGGATTCGAAATGAAAGATTTATTTGATTACGGAAGATAGTTAGACGTTGCCAATAGACGGTTCGAGCGAGTGAAGGCGAGCGACGAACTACGGGAAAGGATGGACCCACGTGACTTGGCTGAAGTTTTAATGAGTCGCCTACACGGACAACTGGCAAACTGTCAATGAGACAGTTACGAGCGTCATAAATTATATGCCATCTCGCCTGGCTGCCTAGCCGACTGCCTGCCTCCTGATATTCCATGCAAAGTCATGTGAGTCCGTGGACATGGTCCTGGACACGTAGTGCTCTGCATGTTCAGCATGCATGGGTATTTTAATTCAATCTACAGGGTCTAAGGATTCATGCGCTTAGTTTAACTGGAGCACCGTGCCTGGTCTGAGCCACTGGTTTGGGTCAGAACTGGACTGGAACAGAGTGCTGAGACCCCCAAACGGTTATGAACCCATCTTCTGCGGCTCCTTCTGTATACCCTCGCTCACCTGCAGTATCTCATTGCAAACAAACAGACGCAGACGTGCCGACCAATCCAGATACGTTTCCAGGTTGCATGTCTTCTTTGGATCCTGTGCGCCTGGTGGTCCGCCCGATGTGGATGGTTGGTCCCATTTCTTCTGCATTAAATAAAACGCAAACACAAGAGAGAATGCTATAGTGAAGGGTTCCGATATTGAGATATCCATTACTTAGATAATACGTAATAACGGTTATGCTACAGGCAACCCTCCGGGACTAACAAGACAAGACATGGAAACCCGCCCACATGTGCAGAGTATATCTAATGTATGGAAACAAATGCCTAGATACTTTTTTCCTCATTTTTGCTGTAATGATTATACGATCCGATCAGATAGAAGCTCTATTATCAAGACGGATTAAAAGGAACCTTATGGTAAAGGGATTCTTATAAAAATGCAGTTCACATATTGTTTATGAAGTCATCCATACGACTACTGGGTAGAAAAATATCCAGTTTAAAACAAAAAATTGCTGTTGAAATGAGGTGGGAGCTGCAGAGGAGTGAAACGGAGTGGAGTGGAACGAGGCCCTGCAGGGGAGCATTGTTAATGAAGCTGCTTGTCGACATTTTAATTGCATGTCTTTGTAAGTGAATAGAAGTGTGAGTGTATTTCATTTAATGTATGCAAGAGTGCAGATTGTTCTTATGATAAATGTTTACTTATGCAGTAGGAAACATTTAGAATTGAAAGAACATTAAAGTTTAGGAATACGCGTATACTTTAATTAAGACAGAGATTAATGTGCGGTTTTCTTGTACTGTTCATTTAGGATATTGGTTGAAGATTTAAGGTTCAGGAATTTAGCATCTATTAGAGTGCTGATTCATGTCAGTTAGAGAGTTCAACGATCAAAATGGTGCCAAAATATCAAAGGACAAATTTACAACACAACTTTATTCTATTCTGGATGTCATTGGGACTGACTTCTTAAAGAGTAATTGCTTTTTTTGTTGTTTACTCAATTACGATTCAGCTATCAATCTTTTCAGAAAATCTGCATGCTCCTTCTTGGGCCTGGAATTTTTGCCAGTACTTACCTGTTTATCCAACAGAATCATGCTGCTGCACTGCAAAAATTCCTCGCCGCCAATGTTCTTGGCCAATTTCTTCTCCAGCCGGCAGACGATTTGTGCGTATTGCGTGGCAGTCGGAGTGTTGAATGTTGTTTCGACTACGATCTGGTGCAGGCACTCAAAATAGAGTCAAAAGAATGGAAAACAAGACAATGATTTAAAATGGAGATTAGGCAGATTGCTCTTTCAGGGGTCCGCATCCCCTTACCTTGTCGGTAGTGCTGTTGGTCTGCTGGCAAGCACGGAGGTCGGCCTCATGTCTCTCTAAATCAGTCAAACGTTTTAGTAAGGCACTCAGTGTCTGGGAGACAACGGCTTCCAAATGCGAATTGGAACACCTGAATGAGGGAGATTCAGTTCAAGTGGTTTTATTGTTGAGTTCATGCCGAAGGAAATGTAGTTTTCGTCTGCTCACCTGGAAACGATATGCTTGACATGGCTCATCATGCGCTCATCTCGGTAGTCGTAGGGGAACTTCATTGTCCACTCGGCCAAGAGGGCAACTAATGATTCTAAACATTCGCTTTCAGATACTGAGTCCAATAGTTTGCCCAGCAGTTCATAAGGACGCAGAAATAAGCGTGAAGATAGTAAAAACGAGTATACAAATTCCTGCAAGCAAATAAAATAAAAAATAAAACTCAATTAACATTTATCCATGCAGCATAATAAAAACCAGAGGGAACGGTATAGTCAAGTGGATAGGCAATGTGATACCCTAAAATAAGTTTTGAATAAACAAATTTTTGTTTGGCTCTGATCTCTGCTTTTGTTTCCTCATTCTGGCAGTAAGGTCATGGTCTCTTGTCGTATTGCTAACATCTAGTCAAAATCATAGTACCCTTGAGCATAAGCTATACCAAATGTTGATCTCATAGTTGGAAGATGCCAGCAATTAGCTGAGGCATAGCACATCTCTGGATTTTTTTACAACGAATTTATTTTTTTTTGCACTTGGTCCTTGTGGTCCAAAGTTCGGTATATCACAAACAGGATGGTCCTTGTATCCTGTATTCTGTTTCATGTTTTGTTTGCCCTTTTGTGTGTGTGTCTGCGTTCGAGTCTTGAGGTTGAATTTGGGTTTGGTTCCGGGAAAGTAGATAGTTGTTCCTTTTTGGGCTTTTTGGTTTGTGGTTTTTTGGCTCGTGCCAGAAAATTCAACTTGGCAACTATTAGACTAAGAAGGAACTGATTTGTATTCTTTTTGGCGTTTAAAATTTGGGATTTGCATGTAAATACAATTTTTGTGGATATCTAAATTTAACAGGGAATAGTTGAAAACAACAAGGAAAGTTTCGGTTCTATAAGAAATTTATGCTCTGCTTTAAGCTTAAGAATTTTTTTGAACAAACAAATTTTGTTTTGTGATTTTTGCCAGTTATCTTTCTATATACATATATTCATGATTTTCCCATCTTTGTTTTTCAGCTACTAAAAAACAATTCATCCATTAATAATTCTAAATAACTTTAAAAGATATTTACAATTTATGTACAAAAAAGAATATACCAAATGAACTTTAGATAAATTTTATGTTGAACAAAATGCAATGAAAAATTTCTAGCAAATATGATTTATTTTGTAGCGAGTTTTTTATTCAACATTTAAAAAATCGGTAAAAACTGCAAAACTTGCAATATTTACTAGATTTGTTTGTTGCAAATTGCATTTTGAATTTTACAATTATTTGCTTATTTTTTGTACGCTGGAAATAGTTGAAACATTTAAGAGCAGAGATAATTCTTACCTTATCTAAGTCGATTACATTCTTGGGTATGAGTGCCTCGATGAGAGAGTCCAATGGCCCAGAAACTATTCTACCATTTGTGTACATAATGCCACCGGAACCCAAAAACGAGCTCTGTCAAAAAGTATGCAAACAGTCAATATATTTTAATTGAAAATTTGTTTTCTCGCGGGGCCAGGAAAATGTAAACTAATATCAAACCAATTTAATTATCAAATTAAATGCTAGGTCTGGCTCAGAAACGGAAAATCACACTTGTCCTTTTTCCTCAAGGAACAAACCGAATTTTTCTTAAGATTTGGGGCTTAAAATGGTTTGAGATATTTTTCTATGGCAGAACTTTTTGAAGATTTTTGAAGCGGTAAGCTTTCAGGGTAACGCTTGTTTCACATAACCTAGTATCTACGTCTGGTAAAGAACGCTATTTGAAAAGATAATGACACAGCTAGAAGTTAGCCAAACACTTAGGATTCACCCGTCTGGGAAAATAAAGCATAAAATGCAAAAATGATGATTTTGGGGTATACGAAATGACAAAAACTAGAAAGCAAAAAAAAAACGGCATGTGTATAGGTGCGTAATTGGCGTCGTTTAAGGTATCGCCATTAAAACATGGAGACACTGGAGGTAAAATCGTTAACCAAACCTAAAATATGGAAAAATGAACAAAAAATACCTTTGAAGGCGGCGGCCCAACTGCCAATCGAAAACGCGAACAGGTACCAAATGTACAACCCTTTCGCCCTTACACAAAAAAATGAGGACACTAAATTTTTTTCGACTTTCCTGAATTTTTAAAGCAAAATTCGTAAAACCCCACAAATCACAGCATTCAATGCTTTCTGAAATCACAAAGGGATCAACTTCTAGCTGAATACTTCAAATAGCAAAGTTACAACCACGTAAATTGAGTTATGTGAAAAAACGCTACCCTGAAAAACAAAAAAAAACCAAAAAATCCAAAAGCCCGAAACCATCTACAAATAAGCCCCTATCTTCAGAAAATCGGTTGGACAGGAAAAAGCTGGGTCTGGCTCAGTAGGGAAAATTATTATTAAACTGCCATTTGGCAAAACATTATGCTTAATTACCTCAAAATTAATATCACATTGGCTGCGTTTGTGCGGATTTTGGGGTACATCGTACTGAACCACATCGTCACCAACACCCACACGGTTGTTCCCAACCGATTTTGTGGCTTGCTGCATACAAACAAAGTGAAAATTAATAGAAAATTAATAGATAATAAAAGATACGTCCTCAAAATTGTGGATACATGGATGTTTGTGAATATGTTTACCAGAAATCGGAATATCGAGAAAATCGAGTGTATTTTCTGGTATTAGCAACTATACGAGGAGCAGAACACATGCTCTTTCGCAGATTGTATACCCAAAATATTGAAATGTCAATTTAGGAAAATCGCAAGATTTCTCTGTCGTTTATTTGTGTAAATATTCAAATGAAAAATTCTTTGAATCTCTTTAAATATGTAGTATACGTTGTTGCGTGGATGTGCTCCGGTAAAAAAAAACTAAAATTAAAAATATAAAATATAACAAAATTGATTTAAAGAAAATCAATTGGAACACCATCGATGGATGTGAATGATAAATTTAACTTTATTTAATTTAATCATGGAATTAGGAGTCCCCTAGTAATCACTCACCTCGATTTGCTGAAACCCCATTTCCAAGTCATATGCACTCAATTGCTCCGCGCTGTGTCGCCGCCTGTAGCGTACGCCCAAGTTCCCTGGGCCGACGCCAAGGAAAGCTGTCTCCGCTGTCAGATTGCCGGCATCCAGAGAGAAAACGCCACCATTTTTTGCCTCCAGAGATGAAACCGGCCCGTTCTCCAGGCAGCAGTCGTCGCTGTCGGAGCTGCTGCTACTGCTGGGGTGGCGGCAGCGACGACGCCGACGTTGGCGCCATTTGTCGCGATCCCGCTGGCCGCGCGATTTTTGCAGCTCGGTCTGCTTGCAACGCATGCCGCAGGCGATAGCGGATATCTTGCTGGCATAAAAGTACAGTGCCATGTGTCACGTTCGGTCAGCCGCTCCTGACGCGGTCATGTGTGTGTGGGCTGTGAGGGTTAGTTGCTTCTGGGTTGGTGTGTCCCTCTGACTGGCTCCTCTTCTTGTTTAATGCATGAGCACGGATCGGGCTGGTGAAAAGTTAACCTTCTCCATGGCTGGACACGTAGGTGACAGTGGGAGTGGGTGTCATGCAATCAAACGTCAATTTCGTGAAGGATTAGATGTTCGACTGCCGGGCGTTGAACAAACGACTCTCGAGTTCCGTTTTAATCCTTTGGGGTAGGCTGACACTTCATTCCATTTATCGTTTCCCGATTTATCAATTACCACACCGGGAAGACTAGTTCTTGGCTTTTCCTCACTTCCTGCAACAGAAAAAAGAGCCAAATCAAAAATGGAGTCGGGGAAATACTCTGTGCCCACTTGGCGTCAACACATCAACTTTACGGTCAATCGCAGCACATTACTCATACGCCGTGTGGCTCTTGCACAAGTGCTCAAATCACTGGCCTCGTCATATAGCTGCCTCAGTGTGTATGGTGGTTGTGGTTAGGGTTATTATCCCTTGGGGCCCATTTGTCACTCATCAGTCCATAGACATGTGCGCATCGTCAATAAGGGTATAACCGAAACGTCCCGATGGTAAGGAAGAGGACGGCTGCCTATTACTTGGGTCGATGGCAATCATTAAATCACTGCAGATGCGTTAAGGCTGAGCAAGAACTGATTTATACGAAAAAAATCATCAATGATGTTTAGATTGGTTCAAGGTTATAAAGGAATAAACATTTTTGGCCAGGATTTTTCCTATACTTTGCTCTTAGTGTCATTAGATATGAACTCTGAACTTAATACATGTAAAATTTACAAATATGTAATCTTTGTATCCGTATGCATATTGATTTATGGTAGTATTCCGGTTAGGCGTCTCAAGCATTTAATATTTGTGACATTTATATGTGTGTGATAAACGAACATTCACTACTTCAATTTAGAGCCTCATTAGCTCTAAAGAGAATCTTTTTTCTCCCAAAAAAAAGTCATTAAAGTCTTTACCCTTTCCTTTTCATTCGTGTTCTCTCGTTTTATTCATGGCATTACAGTTACATTACACAGTTTAATCCTTCTCAGAAAACAACCTTGAAGCCCTATACTAAGAAGAAAAGAAATAAAACTCGCCTTTAACAATACGGATATTAACAGGATGTGTCGGAGAAACTGTTTTGCATATTATGAGGGGATTTTCACGTGTGTTAAAGAAATACGGAAATAAGAAAACAGTGGCAGTTGGCTTTAATGGGGATTTACCATGCGCAAAAAATAACGACAGCTCGGCAGAGTGCAGCATCAAATGTGTGAAATATCCATTAAATAATAAATATATGCAGACACATGAATCGCAAAAGGCAGTGACTGAAGTGTGGACGTGTGTACTGCCTGAAAGTAAATTGCTATTGAGAGTGCACTCCCGCACCTGCCCGGAAGCTGCTTATGCCAAGAAACAAGAAAATCCAATTGGTATTAACCTAATTCCGACTCGTCATCATGTTTGAGTCTTCGCTTTTGTCAGCCAAAAATTCAACAGTTGCTGTGCCTCGAAGGTTTCCAGTCTGAGGTGGCAGCAATTGATGCCAGTCCCAGAAGAAGAAATCGATCCAAAATCAAAGCCATATCTGGCACCTAAACCAATGCCTTTTTGATCTGCTTAAGATTCGTTTTCATTGACAGCTTCAGCTTCATTATAACTTCAGTTACACCCCCATAGCCAGTCACAAATTGCCAATTAAGGAAACCAGATTTATGTGTTGTGTGCTTAATTTGCTGGTGAAATTCTCTTGACCTCTTGCACACTATTTTATTTGGGTTTTTGTGTGATTTGTTCATTACATAAGCCATGCATAATAAATCTTTTCTGTGTACAATCTGCATTTTAATGTGGCCATTTCCAGTCACAACAGAAAAGGGATTACGGGCTTAGCGGTTCAACAAAAATGAGGTGTATCCCTTTGGGAGTCCATATATTTGGAATGAATGAAATAAATATGCAAATAGTCAAAGTGAATCATGAATGAGCTTGGAATGAGGATCCCCGGAGGTTTATTCAATAATACTTTGAAATAATTTTTGGGGGAAAATTACTAGCTAAAAACACGCATGTTGGACAGCCTACATTTACATTCCTGAATGGATAAATGGTAATGTACACATATTGCAAGAAACCCTCAAACTGCATAATTCAGTCAATTGAAGAGGATATCTGAAAAGGAGAATGTGCCAAAAGAAAGGTTTAAACTAGAATTGCCCCAATATTATGGATCATGCGGCTTACATTTACATCACATTTTAATATCCTTAAAGGGAGTATCATGATTTTGGTTAGATGCTTGCAAACGAAAAAAAGAAAAAATTTGCAAATGGAAATATTTCTGTCAATTTGTCATTTTCTGGAAAAACCAGTTAAAATCTAACAATTTGATCACAAAAATATTTTTTTAGATCTGAAATATCTATTAAAAATTATTTTAAAAACAGGCTTGATCCCTCACGAACACAGCAGGTTAATGGAAGACCTAACTATCTTTAGTTTAAGAATTTAGTAAATCCTTTCCTGCATATTTAAAATAAAATACATCTCTTTTTTAAAAAATATTTCTTTCTCTGAAAATAGCTCTATAACCTTATCATATTGCTGCTGGAGTATAATGATATAAGACTATTTTATTTGAAACAACTTCAATCAGTATCAGTATGCTATACTACCATTCTGCTAAAGGAATGTTTCCCAAAATAATCTCTTCACCGATGGTGTGTGTCTGGTGTATCTATGTGTACGGGGCTATTTGCTTGTGTGTGTGAGACGGGGTTTCCCTTATCAGCATACATATGTATATACTTTTTGTCTTGCCTACAATTTGGGGCAGTACCATGCTCAAGTGAGCGTAACAAAGGCGGAACACACACAAAACGTTTGATATATTCTCGTATTCAACAAAAACGTGTACATAGTTAACTACAAGTTATAGCTGCCCACATCTTTCTGGACAGCCCCACATTGTGGGGTATCAATGGCTGTAGACAAAAACAACCTAAAATAAATCTTTCGTTTAATTATTTTTTTTATATCTGTGCTCAAAAAGAGTTAAAGGGTATATTGTATTTGTGGTAATAGGGGATGTGTGTATATTAAAAAAGGAAAGGATGTAGTAAAAAAATGTAAAATATTGCAAAATTCTACATAAATCATAAGCTCAAAAAATTATATACTGACTAAGTACGGGTATAAAAGAAGAGTCGAGTCCACAGAAGCGACTCATACGTTCCTTCTCGTTTTTTTTTTTTGGTTAAAAGAAACTACTCGACAAAATTTAACTTTTTATTTATTTTGTGAACCAAAATGACTTTTTCTGATAGATTTCGGGATTTAAAAGTTGTTGTAGTACTTTTTTATTTTTTTTATGGTATAATTTTTTTTAAAGAATTTTTCAAGTCTGGTATTTTTTCATGGTTTTTTTCAGAGGTTGTGCTTCTATTTTTTACATAACTTAAGTATCTTATATCTGGTTGCATAGGCTTTTGCAGTTCTGAAAAGCTAACAAATGCAGATATAAATCCAACCCAGACTTTTGTATCTGCAGCTTAACGCCTGAAAGATATTAAGCTTTCAAATTCAAATTTTATTATTTTCTGCGGTATTTTTTTTCGTAATTTTGATTTTAAAAACTCGGGAAAAGTCGAAAAAAAATTATATCCTGTGATCTCTATTTTTTGTATAGGTGCATTAATTAGGCGTCCTTTAAGGTATTGTTCATTAAAATCTATAGATAAACGGTCAACTTGCAGCCGTTTGACCAAAACAACTCAAAAACATTGAAACCATTCATATCATCATTAATCAGTTATTGGCAGTTAAAAACCTGCTCAAGTTTTTGCGAACTTGTTAACTAAATATATCAACCTCAGCTGAACTTCCTGATTTTCACCAATTATTAATTTTTTAACAGTAACTATAAAAATAAAATAAAAACACTTCATTATCAATATGAACTAGTTTCTAAGTTTCAATATTATTTGAAAAAACCGACGGATTACATTTTTTTTTAATGTATATTAACCCAATTATTTGTATTTTCTTTTCGTGGTAGCAACCCCCAAACATTTAACTAAAAAAATGAAAAAAATTGTATAATTTTATTGAATAACAAAGAACAGAATTGGGGGTGTCCCCTCGAAAAAACAAAAACAAATTTGTTTGGTCTAATTTTGGCCCAGCCTAATATAGATATATACTTCAATTGATATAAAATTTCTTATCTTTACGCGATGGGCTTCAGCAAACCTTTAGTAAATAAACTTCTTAAGAGACAAAAATGTATACTAAATAAATTCTCAATTGAAGTTTATAAACATCTGTACTTCAATAATGCCTTTTTTCTTACGATGCCATTATTCCATCATTTCAAATCGTTGCGCAGTCAAAGTTCTTCAATTATAGTAAATACAGCTTTTGTGTAATTTTCCCCACTTTCAGTAGATTTTCCTTCCTGCGTTGGACAATCAGTATTTACATTAGATTTAATTAGCATTTTTTTCGCTTTTGTCTGCGGTCTTAACAAAGGGAATGTGTGATAATAAAAGTCCATTTAAAATTACGTTGACATTGACTCTGAGCTAGTTAGTTTGGCACCATTTGAAAGGTTTTGATGAAGGCAAAGTTAAAAAGCACTTTTCACTTCTAGGGCTCATTTGCCAGCATGGATGTAATTTTTTCTGCCTGGCTGTCTAATTCTTCTGAAAACAGTTTAAAATTAAACTAAAAAAAAACTAAATAAAGTGCAAGAGAGAGCGTTGTTGTTAAGTGACAGGACAATGGAGTACTTGGTATTCAGATGCTATTGATCATAAGTTCCTAGAACATATGTTTCCATAAAACTACAGATAAATACTCTAAGTTTTTATGTGTGGGAAGACGGAATAAATGCTCTTATCGCTACAGGATCGCCTAGAAACTTGTCTTTCTTCTTATGTCTTCCCTTCTTTCAATGTCTTGTAATGATTTTCCAAATGCGACGAGTTTTTTGGAGCATCAGATAAAAGTAATATGGAATCAAAACCGATTCTTTCTGCTTCTTACATTTAATTGCCAACTGCAGTGAATATTTTTTAGTCCACGAATATGGGGTAAAAAAAACTGGAAAAATTAAATTAAAAAGCTACAACGTCAACGTCATGGCTCTGTGTGTGTCATAAAAAAGGCGCAAAAGAGAAACCGAAATTAAGTTACTTTGACTTTCAGCTCTAAATTGTGTGGGAGAGATACCCGCATCCGCCAGGATCCTATCCAGCCATTAATTTGAGTCCTACTGAAATGAATACAATGCCAGCGACAAAAAAATGTATTTAATGACTTTTAAATTTTTTTATCGCATAATTTATTACAATCTCAACCGCAATAAAACCCAAACCCAAGCTATGCTAATTCTTATCCATCACTTTTTATGGCAGCCGTTAAAAAACGTCAAGAAAATCGGCTTAAAGTCTGAAAGTATTTTGGCATCATCATCAGTCTCCATGGCCAGAATTCTAGCAACTGCATTGCCAAGACAATTGACAAATTGGTGATGGATTTCTGCCGCTCTGGCGGATGTATTTATGCAAATGCATCCGGGATCGATGCAGATGGCTTTGGTATATGGAAATTAGCCTTGGGGGGAATAAATGACACATATCAGCGCTTATTGAGGGTATACACGTGATACAGGTTGAGAATTGGAAGTGGAAGGATTTCATTTTCAAGAATATTAGAATGTAATAAAACAGATCAATGGAATACAAATTAAATGCAATTTATTTATTAAATGTATAAAATTAAACTTAGACAATTAGACTGAAAAGAGACTGTTGCTGATTGTATTTGGGGTGCATATGTATGTATAACACGTTTTTCTTCTTTTTAAGGAAAAAAAAACAAAAAAGCAAAATAGTAAGCACCGTAAATAGAATTAATTAAACAAGATTTGGTCATTTTTATTTATAGTTTCAGTATCTCTTGAGATTTTCTTATCTGCACTTTAAACATATAGTAGATTTGGAGAGAAATTACAGATGGTTTCCTTCTTTAGAATCTCGGCTTGGAAACATGTCTTTTGGAATTCATTAATGTGCTAATTGTTCAGCCGCTTAATGCAGTATCGTACTACTGAGTTTTATAAATTAATTATTTTCTCTGACACATTTCTGCATGTACTCAAACTCAAACAGTACACATACTGAACCGACTCGTGGAAACTCCCCCACTAAATTCCATTTAACTAATTTCATTAATGAATAAATTCTTTTTGCTTAACAGCCATAAGTAAATGAGATACAATATCCGTGCTTCATTTTGACAGCAACAGAAAAAAGAGTTAATATAGTCGAGCAACAACACCGAAAATAGAAAATAAACGTTTTGGGATATACAGATGTGAACAGGACTCGCGACTGTGGCTGACAAGTTTCGGGCACATATTGGGAATCGGAGGCAATGAGGACCCAACACTATCGACATTGCCGGCTAACGGTAACTGAACGTGGAAATGTCGGCAGAAGCTCGTAAATTATACATCATTTTCGATAAGAACAAAGCGGAAATGGATATCCCTGATAGGGTGAGGTGCATTGGTTTTGTTTGTCGGCTGGTAGTTTTTTTTTTTCATTTCATCATGCAAAATTATCGCAATACCCTCTGCAAGTGTATAAAGAAAGAAAAAACATCTTCATTTGGGTGAGTTTGTGTGAGTTCTGAAATTGCAAGTTAATCGAACGTTGCATACTTACTGGCGCAGCCAGTCCGGCGGAACCAAACGCGATACTACTTAATTATGCCCGTTGAGAACATTTTTTAGCAATTCAAATTCATATTTATAGATTTTTTGTTTAGAAATAGTCAAGCTCCGTAAGGGCTCCTACTGCTGCTGACAGCTGTATTCGATATTCAATAAATACAAATAGCTCTCAATGGAAATATTCTCGGGCAGAGCTTTTCGTCTGGTTGCCTTGCATACATCAATTGTTATGTGGAGAATTAGGATTTCAAACTCACTTTCCACTAAGATAATGGAGGGAACTGATTTACATTTGAATAATTCCGATTTTCATTCCTCATTGACATATCGTCACACATAAAATTTAATTCTCACTTTTCAATGGTTTTAAATTATTTTTCCTTTTGTGTATTTTTATTTAGATTTGTTAAATTATTTTATAGTATGATTTAATTATTTTTAAAACTTATGCTTACAAATATTACCGATTACCGACTTAAATATTTCACTTCACAAGACCGTTCTGATTTATCCGCTCCCTAAACCGCACACTTACAGAATCCACGACGAACTGAAGTGCGGACTCCCAGCGGAGGACGAGTCAAAAGCTGTTTACAGCCTCCAAACCTTAACAGAGACCAGAGCTCCAAAAATGTTATAACAGAGGGAATTTCCAGTGTGATTGCTGATAAAGCATGTTGCCATCGAGCATGCTCGATGTTCCAACAGGACATGTCTCTTAGTTGTTCGCTTGTGTGGAACTAACACAACTTCCGCATTCCATTTGTTGTGAAATGTACGTAATTGAGTAGCTAGATGTAGAGGGAAATTATTAAATATTTTAAATGGAAATGCTGACATGGATCTCAAATAGGTATAAATTTATATAAAATATATTTGTAAGTATATTCTCAAGTATCAAAAAATGATAATAACTATTAAAGTGAGGTTCGATTTAAAATATAAATATATTTCCGTATACCAAAAAACTTCCGTATACGATTTAGAATAAATAACTTCTTATATTCCCCACTCTGGTTTCTAGGGTTTCAGGTATATAATAGGCCTCTAAAACACCATGTTACATATATAAAATATTACCCTTCTACGCCTTTCATTTGCTAGAGTACGAGCTGTTAGTGGCTTGCTTTTTTCTACTTGAACCCACATTCCTGTTTAGTTGGCGCGAAAAATTGGCTGCCATGTTAGCAGCACTCCGCCATCGCATTGCTTTAATTACCCAGCCTCATATGCTGTGTGACACCTAGAGGTCTGCCATACAAATGAGAGCTCCTCTGGTTGATGGGTAAGTGGGGAGTGCTGGAATAACAGGCGAGAATGGTAAATGACCCCCTAGTTTATCTCAGTCCTCGAAACATCCCATGGCAACTGAAATCTTTGTTTACTCAGTCACGTTTTCAAATGCTTTTTCCTGCCTTTGTTTGTCTCCTCTTGGGTGTGAAAAATGTTTATCACTGCGGCTTGTGTTAGGTGTCCGGAACGTGTCACCCGCGCTTGGCTTGGAGTTTAAAAATACATTGGCCAGGACAAAAAATTCCCACAACAAATAAATTAAATCAATTTGAAATTTTCATTGAGCTCGCCTTTGGGTCAGCAGTATTAAACGCTCAAGGGATGGGACCCACATATACATCTCTCCTCTCATTGGGAAAAACTTTCCATGTCAAAGGCAAACGTTTTAAGCAGTATCTTAAATTGTATATTTCTGCCCAATTTTATTGAGTGCTGCGGTTGCTGCCTTTGGCTTTTGCTGCTGCTGCTGCAGTTTGGCAGTTTGTTTAAGTGTTAAGTTAAGGAGAGAAATTGAATTCATTTTTAAAATATGCTCGGGCTCTGACTGGCCGGCTCACTCTCTACTCTATTGGAAGATTCTATCTAGTCTAACTTTAAGCTTATCATTAGCTAAGATTCATTCACTTTATTCGAATTTTCAGAATTTTAGATACAAGTGTGAATCGATGTACAAAATTATGGATTTGTGCCCTTGCGGCCACTTTGCATTATTTCACTGCTGTTATTTTTTTGCCGCTTTTCCTTTGCTTTTAGGGCGTACCGCAGGCAGCCACTGGGACTTGAACGCGATTGTTCAGAGCCGATATCCAGGGACGTAGGGATGCAGTACATTAGGGTGTTGCGAGACTGGTCGGACTGCGTTTTTACAGGGTCCACATCCATGTCGACATCCTCTCTGGCACGCCGACTGCGGTTTTCAATGATGGCGTTCTTATCGGTGGTGACCACGCGCTCATAGAGCTGCGACAGGTCCTCAGATAGCTTTGTATTGTAGCTGTTTAGGTTGTCCTGATGTACGAGGCTGGAAACGAACTCTCCGATGTTGATGGATGCGAGCGTTTGCAGAAGCAGGTCCAGATTGACGCGCCGGAAGGCAAGTTCATTGAGCATCTCCAGCATGAGGATGAGGTGCTTCCGCTGATCGGACTCTAAGTCTGCGTTGAGGAACATCAATCGCAGCATCTTGTAGGTGTTGTTTGGATCCAACGGATCGATGGCTATTCCGCAGCGATCGTACAAGCTGTCGTAGATCTCCAAGTCGTTCAAATCGGTGTACGGCGCCTTCACACTCTGCATCACCCTCCACGCGGGGTCTCGCGTGAATCCCCTCAGCGGCTGGCTCCTGTTGTCCGCCATACGCCAGAGCGTGGACAGCATGGAGAGATTGGTGCAGCGAAAGAGGTACGCCAGCGCCACCAGGAGGCAGCGATTCCGATGACAGTCACATTTTGCCTTCTTCCTGGGGTTGCAGATGCGTGGCTCTGTGCTCACCACCAGCTCCCTGCATCGTGCAGGAAAGCAGCAGCCACGATAGCAGCCGCGGCAGCAGGCGCACATTATCTATAATTTTGTAGATTCCAAAAAAGTTGGAGGGTTCGAATATTGTTGTCAGTTCTTGTCTAAATCTAAATGAGAAAATGCTTCTTAGTTTCTGTCGAAACGATAATCCTTTCATTCTTTGTTTCCTTGTAACTAGGCAACCAGAGAGCAGTCCTGCTACTACGGCCAACTGTTGTTTCAAAAAGGAACGCTAGGGAGCTCAATGAGCTTGGATCAGTTTCCTCAGTTGTTACTCTTTTGTCTGCGATGCTGTGTGCTCTTTTGTGGCTATCTACCATTTCAAATGCAGTTTCCAAAAAGTTTTCTTTCTTGTATTGTTTTTTTTGGTCGAAAATTCCTTTTTAAATTCCTTCACGGGGCTGGGCTTTAGTTTTCGGTGAAGCACATCGTAACCCCAGATAAATCAAAGTGCACAAGTTTCTTCTTACTTTCCCTACTTTTATTGCTGCGGTCGATTGGCAACATCTTGGACAAAATGTATGCTACATACGAGTGCTCTCCCTGAAGACAAATCGATGAGTTTCGTTGCAGCTGCAGCTGAAAATACTTTCAAGATTGCCCATGATTCACAGAATGAAACTTAGGAGGCAGCATTAATTTATTTGCCAGCTGCTGAAGAGCGTTTGAGGGGCGAGTATTTACGTAGCCAGATCCCAAGTGATGCAGTTGCAGTGGAGCCTCAGAGTGGGGCTTCCAGCTGTATAATCCTTGGCAATGACATGTCAGCGGGTTGGCTCAGATAGCGTGATTACCAACACATGCAAATTGAAGTTGTTTGACAGCGGGTTAGACTATGTCTAATCCAATTTCCATTGCTTAATCCACCATGACTGACAATCAGAGCGATGCAGACGGATGGGTTTCGGGTGACGTGCGGGGAGTGTTGCCTGTTGCCCCAGCATCTTTACGCACCAGAGCACTTCGCATACTTGGTATTGCTATTGAATTGCGTAATCACCCACACATGAACCCATGAACACACACAGAAACACATCCATATATATGTATATATATATGTCAGCATATCATGTTACACTTCACTGTGTAAGTGTGTGAGTAAGATGTAGTTTGGTGGCCAAAAGCCCTCATCCGTCCCAAAAGGCAAGTGCAGAAAGAAATGGAAACGGCAGCCATCTCTCGTCTCTGTACATAAAATCACAATGTTGACCCTTTTATTTCGACTGGAAGCTTTATGTGTGCACAGATTTTACGACTCGGAGCGAACAACAGCAGCAGCATTCGAGTACTGGTACATAATTTCACAAAGAACGGCTTAGTGGGCTCTGAACTTTGTTCGGGTCATTCCTGGCGATTGTGGATTGCATTTTAAACGAAATTTCACCCTATATGTACATAGTTCCCATGTGAAGGCAAAAGAAGAAATCCTACCTGACAAGCCGGGAAGAATAAAACATTGAATGAAATTCATTAAAAGTCAATTAACGTGTAATTGTTTTCCATACTCTTGCCTGGGGGTAATGTCGATATCAGATTCAGTTCATGGTGCCTAAGGGAGTTGTCATGAAATGAATTCGAATTAAAAAATGAGGGTCGAGGTAAAGTAAACAACGAGGCAAGCTTTTTGGTTAAATATCAACACTGATAATAGCAATCAAATATTGCAATAATAATTTTTTTGTATATTTAATTCAATGAAAAACTTTAATATAGATAATCTTTAATATTTATTTGCTGATGTTTTTACAGAGCGTTCGAGCATTCGTTACATTACTCCAAAGCCTGCTGACTTTATTTTAAGTGTATTTTGTTTGTTTGTTGTATTTTTGCTTACGTTCTCCAATAAAGGACACTGCAAGGTCTGCTGACAGACGCGCAATGCGGTTTAATTAGTGCAACTGACAAGGCAAAAAGCGCAATAAAGCGATGCACTTTGCTTTTGTATGCCGTCCAGTCCGTTGCGGTCAGGGTTGTGATCCCCCACCAAAAAAATCAAGGAAAAAATGGTAAAAATTAAAGGAAATTGGACTTGAAACATGGTTTCAATTAGCAGTACTTTCTCTGGAGGAGCAGCGGCAGCCAGGACTGACAAATGGTTTGTGTCAAACAAAAGCCGCGTAGAACAAACAAACAAACAAACAAGATACCGGGTAGGAATGCGATGAAAGGGCCAACAATCACGTCTTGTTGCCTGTTGTGCGTGACTCTGTCCGAATGCAGGCAATTCTACGGCAAACCAGCCGACCTGTCACTTCTAATGGTATTGTGACACCAATACTCGTTCCCGTACCCGCATTCCAACCCATAACAGAACTGTCAACTTACAGGCACAAGGCTTGGCCAAAGTGTCGCGTAATTTATTTTCCACCTCGTGGCGACGACTGACAAATGAGCTGATAATTTCCGCCGTATCCTGACATTGTCAAGGAATACGACTAAAACAGGAGCCCCCTCGAAATTCATGGCCTAGTCACCGAAAAGGTTGTTTCTAGCCGTTGACAGCTGAAATTAATTTGTGTGTTGTCTGCGTGTTGTACCCTTCCCGAGTTATTGATGAGAGATATGCTGGTATGTGGAATGGATAAACAGAAACTATGGCGATTGAAATCTATGGGAATTGGTAAGTACTTTAAGATTAATTCATTACCGAGGACAAAGATAAAATTCAGAAGGAGCATAGCAGACTGAGGATAAATATAAAGCTCGCATAAGAGCAAAGGCAAGAGAAAGGCGTTAATGGTTTCCAAGGGAAACTATTCAACAAATGTTTAAATGAGTTAAACGTGAGTGCTGTAATCATTTTGATAAAGAAATTGCTGCTAAAATGAGAACAAGTAAACTTGATAAGCTATTAAGGTTAATGAAAGTATTTTGCACTGCGTTTTACTTTTTGAAATTTGTAAAACATTTTAGAAAATATGATACACTTTTTGAATTAACTAATAAAATTAGTGTTAAGTCCATTTCATTTATTTTTATTTAATCTGAAGATTATATACACCCGTTGGACATTTTCAACGAATTGTTCTGCATAAGAAATATGCTTCTCATAATATAAAATAATAATAATAAATAAATAAATATTATTGTATTCCAAGGGTATTTCATAATAAGCCACTCAACGGATTAATCATCATCTCATGCCTTCAACGAGTAAACAAATGAAAATAATGACAAAATTGGCCAAAATGCGCGAATGTTTGTCACCTCAAGGATGTGGCGACTTTTACATAACGTGACCACTTAATCGACTTCAAAAATTGGTTTTAAGCCCTTTCTTTGAATCCCTAAACACAACTCTTATACCGGGTAGACTACGCATTCAAATTTTTTTTTGATTTTCGCCCACTTCAAGTGGTAAATCATGCACGTATATGTGGGTATGCTGCAATTTAACTTTAATGCATTTTTAATCAGTGTGAATCCGGCTGTGTGTGTGCTGGTGTGCGTATAAGTGTGTGTGCGCAAATAGAAAATGAAAATAATTTGTAACCTCACCATGGGGACAGTGGCAGAATGGGGAATGGAGCAGGCACCAGAAGGCTGAGCGAATTCCGTTTATGACTATTTTATGCCAACTGAAAATTCTCATGCACTTTATTTTCGGCGGAACTTAACATGTAAATTAATATTTGCACTTAGTGTGCCGTGCCGTGGGGCAACATTGCAATGCACACAATGCATTGCGAGGGAATTTTATATGTGCCAGCGCCCTACAAAACAGTTTCCGTGTGGTGCTTGTGGCGCCTTTTTATGGGCTACTCGAGTCGGCTCCTCATTTTGTTTCTGTTTCTGTGGGTACCTCTGTTGCATACTTCAATTATTAACTTGGCTTACCTTTTGTTAATTCATTGCCATTTCCACTGTTAATTATGTTACTCATTTGTTTGCTGTTACCCTCTGTTTCCTGTGTGGTGCAGTTTTTCACTCCTGAAACGAAAATAGTTGGACAAAAGTTGATTCCGGAAATGAAAAGTTAAATGTAAAAAAGCTCTCACAGCACAATGTGGTTTTTTTTGTTGGGGAATTAAGTTATAGTATAAAATAAATTGATAAATGAATAAGAAGGTGTATTAATTAAGTATTCAAAGAGAACCAAGTTTAATATCTAAAATTATTATTTTCTGAACTTTCTTATCCGCTTTACGTGTACGATTCCCACTTATCCTATCTCATTTGTAATTTCCTTTTGTGAATTCCAATATTAGTGAAAAGCATTTGATTTATTAGAAAGAAATTCAAAGGAAATTAAAGAAGGAAATTATGATGGAAGTTATTTTCCTAATTATACTTTCCATTTTTATGGAAGCTGTAATTGAAAAATGATCTTATCTTTCGTTTTAGTCCGTTTTCCATCAGAAAAGAAAATCGGAAATGAGAAAATCTCTTTGCCTACTGCGTCCACTTTTATGGTGGTTTCTGGGAAAGTAATTATCAATTTTTAATTGATTTGAGTAACTTCATCGACATCAGCACTTTAATTTCTTACTGTTCGGCTTACGCAAATTACACAGAGGAGTCAGGGAGCCAAGTCTAGAAAAAGTTAATGTCACGCATTGCAGTCAGGTTGCTGCTCTTCCTTCCTCAAGCAACTTTTCCTTTAAGTAGAGGTTGTTGCAGCATAGCTTTTACACGTCATCTGTCTGTATGTATAATGCAGCGAGAAAGTGTGTGCTTACTGCAGTGAAGTGTAAAATTGAAAATGAGTTCGCACTTTAGATTAAAGTCTGTAAACATGAGCCAGGGCTCAGATGCATTTGCAAAGATTGTTGGCTGCAACTCGTTTAAGGGCTTATCGCTAAGCTCTCAATTTATCCATCAGTTGGGGTCCAGGGAAAAACTTATTAAGGTGTTAGCTATCTGGATTCCCCTCCAAACTAAAAAGAAACATCATATTGCAAGGGACAAGATAACTCTCAAAACGGACACGGAAGTAAATAAAAATAAACCTTTTTTCATGCATAAAAGCAGTTAAGCATTTAACTTAGAGGACAAATGCCAAAATGTATGGTAAGGGGTCACATTCAAATTCCAGCTGCATGGAGGGGTTCTGGTTCTGCGGGCATGCGAACGTATTTCAAATGTACTTGAGGGGGGCTGGCAACAGTTTTATACATTAA